CTTCACACAGGGATGCCCAGAGCATCCTCCACACAGGGATGCCCAGAGCATCCTTCACACAGGGATGCCCAGAGCATCCTCCACACAGGGATGCCCGGAGCATCCTTCACACAGGGATGCCCAGAGCATCCTTCACACAGGGATGCCCGGAGCATCCCTATCGCTTGCAGAAGCCATGGAACAAGCTGGGATTGGACACACCAGGATCCAACTGACCGCAATTCCCTCCCTGAGCCCCAAACCTGACGGCAACAAGTTTTCCCTGCTGCCCCCAGGCTTTTGTATGCAGCTTTCAGCTCCCGTCCATCACGCTGAATGGCTCCATTCATCCCCCAGCGGCTGCATCCGCGCCGGGGGGATCCCAGCGGGTGCAAAGGGCTCATCCCACCCCGGCAGGAAAAATCCCATTGGCTCCAAGCCCCCCCCCTGCACTGAGCATCCTTGGACCTGGGGGCTGTGACACCCGGGAAGGGGTTTGAATGGGTTTCTGCATGTGTAAAACGTTTAAGAGCCCATCCAGGGTGTTGGAATGATGGGAGGCGTCCCTGGAAGCCACCCTGGGGTGGGAATGGGGGTAAGGAGAGCCCTGCTGCTCCCAATGGACATGGAGCTCCTGATTGTGGTGGCTGCGGCCTCTGGGTGCATCTCTGCATCCTGACGGGTGGTGCTGCACCCAGGCTTGGGGGGGCACCAGGGCAGCGGCACCCATGGCACACTTGGGGGTCCTTTAACACCCCAGACAGCACCCATGGGACAGCAGCACGGCCTGCCCGCCTCCCCTGCCCTCTGCCATGCTCCATGGGGGGCTCCCCAGGGCACAGGGACTGACCCCAGGGATCAGGGATCAATCCCAGGGATCAGGGATTGATTCCCAGGGCTAAGGGATCGATTCCCAGGGATCAGGGATTGATTCCCAGGGAACAGGGATCGATTCCCAGGGATCAGGGATTGATTCCCAGGGAACAGGGATCGATTCCCAGGGATCAGGGATTGATTCCCAGGGAACAGGGTTTGATTCCCAGGGCTAAGGGACTGATTCCCAGGGATCAGGGATTGATTCCCAGGGATCAGGGATCGATTCCCAGGGATCAGGGATTGATTCCCAGGGCTCAGGGATCGATTCCCAGAGCTCAGGGATCGATTCCCAGGGATCAGAGATTGATTCCCAGGGATCAGGGATCGATTCCCAGGGATCAGGGATCGATTCCTAGGGATCAGGGATCGATTCCCAGGGATCAGAGATCGATTCCCACAGATCAGGGATCGATTCCGAGGGATCAGGGATCGATTCCCAGGGATCAGAGATTGATTCCCAGGGATCAGAGATTGATTCCCAGGGATCAGGGATCGATTCCCAGGGATCAGGGATCGATTCCCAGGGCACAGGGTGCCAGAGCTGCCAAAAGCTAACCCCATAAAGAAGCCGTGGAACCACGTATCACCATCACCATCATCACCATCACTCCTTCCTCATCCTCCTCCCTGGTACCTTCCCCATCCCATTCCATTGCCCCCTCAACCCACGCCATCACGGCCTTCCTCTGCCCTTATCCCTCCTCTTCCTCCGGCCGGGATGCGCCAGGCGCTTCGCTCCGGGTTCCTCTCTTCCCTCCCGCTCCTGCCAGCGACTTCAAGGAAGGCAACCTAATGAAAAGCAGCTGCTGGGAATAGCAGCGGGATGATGAATGCGTGTTAAGTCCCCTTAACAAAACCAGGTCTGATGAGAGTCGCCCGGAGCACTTACTTCATTGCTTTCATTTGGGAATCGTGTTGGAAAAGGGAGGGAGGAGGGAGAAGCTAAAGGGGGGGGTGAGTGGAAACCTCCTGTAGGTCTCATTTAGCCCCTCCAAGCAGACCTCAGGGTAATTAGCCGAATGGCATAATTAAGGAAGAGACACAAAGGGGGCATTGTGTGCAGAGGCTCAACAGGGGAAACTGAGGCATGGGCTGGGTTTGGAGCGATGGGCACGGATGCTGGGCAAAAGAAGCCAAAAAGTGGGGAAAATCCTTTGGTTTTCCTTCCTATTTCCCAAGTGGGGACGGAAACTGGGAGGGGGGAATCCCAAAGAAACCAGTGAACACCATGGAAGCGCCGGGAGCCCAAACGGTGATGGATGCTGAGCCCCCCTGCATCCCAACACCTCCATCCCACATCCCGCCGCAGCACGAGCCAAAGCCCTCCCCGCTCCGGCAGCACCCGCCCGGCTATGGGAACAAGGGCTTTTCTTGCCAAAAACTCGGAATTTGAATCATTTTCCTTGGCAGCCATGCAGGGCCAGGATGGATTTTCCTTTGCAGACAGATCTGCCTCTGTCCCGCGCTGGGATCGGGAGCTGGGCTCGGGAATGGCGGGACTGAAGCCGAAAGGAGCCCAAGTGATGCTTTTCTCCCTCATTGACTTGAGGGCCACAACCCAATGATGCATTAATGACACCAGAGCATGGATGACTTCAGCACAGGGAGCTGGTTGAGTGCCTTGGCTGCATTTAAATCCTTGCCTCCAGACTGGAATTCCTGGGATTAAAGTCCTTGTTTTGGGATGGAACCACGACAACCCCATGTGAGGTTGGTCAATAGCAATGTATGGTCCCACCTTCACCTCCCTGGTGGTGCTGGGACCGGTTTGGGGATGCTGAGCATCCAGTTCCATGCCTTTCCCAACCTAGAGGATATCCCAGCCTGATTTTGCCCCAGGTTGTTCCAGGGTTGGGATAAAAGGCACTAGCTCCAAATGATCCTGATGGGATGGATCCAGTGTAGCAGCAGCAGCAGGGGTTTGCATCCATTCCACTCATGGTGCCCAGAGCTTTTCCTTCCCATCCGGCCTTGGGTAGCATCCTATTTAGGGGAATTGAGGAGTGATGAGCCCACGGAGCCAAACTCAGCCTCAGGAGTCCTCAATTCCTGATTCCCGGTGCAGCCATGGGGAAAACCAGGCTAAAATGCTGCTCTGAATGGCAACGCCAGCATTAGATCCTGCCAAATTCCAACCTCACCTTAGAGGGGCCTCAAAGTATTCCAGAATAGAGATGCCGGGGAGTGAGAAATCCCAAATTCCAGTGTCCTGAATGGAACCAACACCGGTGATACTGGAGTGGATTAACCCAAAGAGCTGGAGCATCCCGTGGCTTCTTTGCACAGGGATGGAGGTGCTGCTCCTGGTTTAGGCATTCCACATTCCACACTCATTTTCCAGCTTTCCAGGTATTTGGGAGCACGAGAGATGCAGGAGCAGCCGCTTGCCTGCTTGTTCATCCCCAAAAAGCTCACCCAGTGGTTTAGCTGCTGCCATGGCTATCCCAGCATCAAGGGAGCCTCTCCCAGCACACAGATTATTGGGATTTGGGGATTTTCCCCTCCAAAATCTCCCCTTTTCCTCACTCGGAGCAGTGCGGTCCAAGCCGCATCCCCCCCCCAGGGATGCCGTGGCCACCGGGATGGCCGCATCCCATGGACCAGCTCATTTCCTCCAATGGATGCAGGGGGGGAAAGAAGGAAAGGGGGAAACAAAAAGCTCCCAAGGCTGCTCGCACGTGTCCGGTCTTGCCTCGAAGCTTCCCGGGATGAGGGTGGGTGGTGCCTGGATGCAGAACGGGCTCGGGATGCTGTGCCCCATTGGATCCAGGATGCAGGATCGAGGAGGATGTCCCAGCCCAGGCTCCCCTATAGTTGGTATCCCAGGATCCAGAGGAGGGGGTTTGCTGAGTGCCACAGAGCTCGGGGGGGTTATTCCATGGAACGGGATACGGCGCAGCACAGTTCCCTTTTCAGACACCTCCTGGTTGCAATGGGACGCAAAGTGCACCCCAAAACCCCCTCCCAGTTTGCCCCCACTGTGATGCTTCTGCACCCACTCAGTGCCGCAGGCTCAGCTCTCCATAGGATCCAGTGGGATTCAGCCCCAATCCGGGGCTTTCCCATCCCCACTCATCCCCCAACAGGCTCAGCATCAACACCCGGGATGCAACAGCAGCTCCTCTCCCAGCTCCTTTTAATTAATCTCCTTTTCTGGGATTCATTAAATCATCGTTAGTGGCCGGGTTTTACGAATCCCAGTCCCTTTTCATTATCCCGTTTTCCTTGCCGGTATTTGGGATCGTGGCCAGTTGTGCATCATCTCCAAAACGTATTCAGACCCAAAGTGACAAACTGGGAATACAACCTTTATCCAGCTCCCGGCCAGCAGCCAAACTCGGGTGATTTCTCTAACACATCCCCTGTCCTCACCATTCAAACCAGTTACTTCCAATAAATCCCAAACACATAGAAAACTCGTCACACGACGCCACTGGGAAGCTGGACCCCAACTGGGATTTTAAGCCATTTTAACAGCACTGAATTTTGCCCTCCTTTCCATATTACAGCTTCCAATAGGGCAAAGGATGGGCTTTGATCTCTCCGGTGCTACCAAGGGAGAAATCCACCCGGATAACTGCAATAATGCAGCCAGGACTGATGGGTACCACAGCACATCCCTTCCTGGGATGGGGAAACTGAGGCAGGGAACGGGGTCCTGTGGCTAAACCCGGTTTAACCCAGTGTCTACATTCACTTTAGAGCCCTGAATTCACTTTGAGTTTCTCAGCCAGGCTCACCATGGACCATGGAGTTTGGGATGCTCTGGGTGCAGAGGGGTGATGCTGAGGTGTGGGGGGGTGGTCAATCCCGCTCTCCTTTGTACCCCCCCCTCTTTCCCCTCCCCAAATCCTCACTCCATTTGCTTAATCACTTTCCTAAGGGCCAGACAATGTCAGCCCATTGAGAGCTCCAACATCAGCCCATTGAGAGCTCCAACAAGTAGGTTTTCAATGAGAAAAGAGGCGCAGCTCAGGGTCAGGTTTCAGGGCGAGGAACCCCCCCCCAAGACTCACCGACACCCCCGGGGGGTCCCTATACCCGGGAGGGGGCAAACCAGCTCAACGTGAGGGGAACAGATCCCTTGGGGGAATGGGGTTTGAGCATCCCAGAAAGGGTCTTGGGGGGCCCGGGGGGACACTTACGGTGCGGGCGCCACCGGGGGACAGGGCTCCGTTGGCGAGGTAGGGGCTGCCCAGCTCGGGGAGCATCAGGAAGGGGTAGCCGGGGTAGGGGGGGCCCTTAAAGAAACCCCCATCTTGCTGGCGTCGGACCACTGGGGAGAGAAGGAACGGGGGGGGGGGGGAGTCAGGAGGCAGTGGAGTCAGGAGGACACACACGGGGGATGGGGGTGCTCCCATGAGGGGGGCAAAGATGGGGGCATTAGGGGGGGTTAGGTGAAGGTCCCTCTGGGGGTGCTGAAGTCCCTTGGGGGGGGACCTTGGTTCTTCTCGAAGGGGGGGTCCCACTTGGGGGGTCCCAGGTAGATCCCTCTGGGACCCCTTGAAGGGGTCTTCTGGGGGGGGGGAGCACGCAGGTATCTCAGGGGGGTCCTTGGGTCTTCGGGGGGGGCCCCAGTCCCCTTAAGGGGCGCCCCAGTTGTGGAGGTGGGGGGCACTGGGCTGGCAGCGAAAGGGGGGAGGTGTCCTGAGCCCATCGCCCCCCCCGAGGGGGTCCCCGTCTGCACGGGGGGTCCCGAGGGACGGCTCCGCGCTGGGGGCGGACACGGATCCATCCGTGGGAAGCGATCGGGGGCCGGTTACCGGGGGGGGGGGGGCGCGATCGCTGCGGGGGGGGGGGCGTGGGGACCGGTTCCTCCGGTGGAGGGGGGACACGATACAGGGGGGGGGGGGGGGGGTTGGACACGCGGGGGGTCCCGGGGGGTCCCGCCCGCAGCCGGGGGCGGAAACAAAGAAGTTGCGAAGTGTCGGATGGTCCCGGGGGGATGCGGCGGGGGCCGGGACCGGGACCGGGGCCGGGGCTGGGGGGGGGGGGATCGGGCCGGGGGGGGGGGTCCGGTACCTTCAGCCAAATAGTCCCGCGGCTTCTGGAAACTTTCCCGGGGCTGCGGGGGCCGCTCCGCCTGCGGGGAGAGCGCGGTGAGAGCGGCCGGGAGCGGGTCCCGCCGCCCGCCGCGGCCCCCGCCGCCCCCCGGCCTCACCTCGGGGTCGGGGTCGGAGCCAGAGCCGGAGCCGGCGCCGCGGTTCTCGGTCTCGCTGACCAGGGAGGACTTGAGCTCGTCCAGGTCCCCGTGGGCCGAGCCGCGCCCCGCGCCCTTGTCCTGCTCCTCGCCCTCGTCCTGGAAGGCGATGAGCTCGTCGGGGGCCCCCAGATCGTCCCCGGCTGCGGGCTCCAGCTGCGGCATCGTGGGGGTCCGGCCCCGCCGCCCCGCTCCGGCCCCGCCGGGCCCCGCCGCCGCCGCCGCCGCCCGGGAGGGTCGGGAATGCGCGGGGCGGCGGGGGGAGGAGGAGCCCGGCTGCAAACCGACACCGCGGGGCAGGGCAGGGCGCTCGCACCGCCCCGCGACCGGCCCCGACACCGGCGAGCGCCCGACGGCGGGACCCGCACCGGGCACGGCAGCGCCGCCACGTCCAGGGCTCCGCAGCCCGGCCTGGGGCTCCCCATCCCGTCCAGGTCCCCCCATCCCGTCCAGGTCCCCCCATCCCGTCCAGCTCCCCCCATCCCGTCCAAGTCCCCCCATCCCGTCCAGCTCCCCCCATCCCATCCAGGTCCCCCCATCCCGTCCAGCTCCCCCCATCCCGTCCAGGTCCCCCCATCCCGTCCAGCTCCCCCCATCCCGTCCAGGTCCCCCCATCCCGTCCAGCTCCCCCCATCCCGTCCAGGTCCCCCCATCCCGTCCAGGTCCCCCCCATCCCATCCAGGTCCCCCCATCCCATCCCGTCTGTGTTCCCTCCGTTCCATCCAGGGGCTCCCCGGTACGTTCACGGTGTCCCCTGCAGGGCCAGGGCTCCCATACTGTCCAGGACCCCCCATCCTATCCAGGGTCCCCCCATCCCCTCTCTGTTTTCCCCATCCTGCCCAGGTCCCCCATCCTGACCCTGTCACTGCAATCACACCCAGGGCCTGTCCTACACAGACAGGGCTCCTGTTCTGTCTGGGGTCCCCCATCCCATCCAGGAGCTCCCCTGTATGTCCAAGGTGCCCACCCTCATCCTGTCCCAGTCCCCCCCATCCTGTCCAGGGCCCCCCACCCCTTCTCATTCCCATCCAGCACACCCCATCCCATCCAGAGCCCCCGCCATCCCATCTGTGTTCCATCTTTCCATGATCCCCCCATACCATGTGCTCCCCTTCCCATCCAGGCTCCCTCTGTCTCATCCAGACTTCCTCTACCCCATCCAGAATACCCTATCTGGGGTGCCCATATCCCACCCAAGTACCTCCATTCCATCCAAAGTCTTCCCATCCCATCCAGGGTGTCCCATCCCATCCGGGTGCCTCCATCCCACCCAGCACACCCCATCCCATCAGAGTGACTCCTCATCCCATTCTTGTCCCTACCCTGCCCCATCCCATTCAGGTGCCCTCCTCCCACCTCGGTGCCCCTGTTCCACCCATCCTGCCAGGGTGTCCCTGTCCTGCTGGGGTGTCCCTATCCCATTTGGATTTCTCTTCTTTCCACTGAGGAATCCCCATCCTGCCCCTGTGCCCCATCAAACCTAAGCATCCCCATCCCACCGTGGTGTCCCTGTCAGCCTCACCAGTGGCCTTATTCCCCCATGACAGGGACACCGGGGTGGGATGGGTGCCCATCAGGTGATGGGAGACCCAGCAGGGACTCATCCAGCACCTCCAATCAGCTTCACCACCCTCAGCCTGGCCGTGACCCCCAGGCTCCAGCTGGAATCCCCACCTCCCCATTTCACTGGAGCCCCAGTCCCAGCGCTCCCTGCCAGCCCCACAAAGGTCCCTCAGTTGCTGTGCCTCAAAGGCTCCATGAAAAGGCTTTTGTAACAGCGGGATAACTGGTGACCCCAGTCCCCCCGGCCAGAGCTCCTCAGGGAATAGTGGGAAGCCCGGCCCCGCTCCCAGCCCTCCAGATGTTTCATTACCCGGCTTGTAATGAACCTCATCCATGTGCTGAATGGGGAGTTCAGAGCTGCCCCTTCCCATGCAGATCCGTGCTCCAGGTTTCGGGATAGCCCGGATGTGTCTCGGGATGCTAAAAGAGAGGAATAATCACTGAAATCCTTGTTTTTCCCAATAGTCTCCCAGCTCCAGTGGGGATCCATAAAGGAACAAGGGGAGATCCATGGGATGGAGGAGATGATGGTGGGGTGGGAGGTCCACGGGATGGAGGAGATGATGGTGGGATGGGAGGTCCATGGGATGGAGCAGATGATGGTGGGATGGGAGGTCCATGGGATGGAGGAGATGATGGTGGGATGGGAGGTCCATGGGATGGAGGAGATGATGGTGGGATGGGAGGTCCATGGGATGGAGGAGATGATGGTGGGATGGGAGGTCCGTGGGATGGGAGGTCCATGGGATGGAGGAGATGATGGTGGGATGGGAGGTCCACGGGATGGAGGAGATGATGGTGGGATGGGAGGTCCGTGGGATGGAGGAGATGATGGTGGGATGGGAGGTCCTGGGATGGAGATGATGGTGGGATGGGAGGTCCATGGGATGGAGCAGATGATGGTGGGATGGGAGGTTCATGGGATGGAGGAGATGATGGTGGGATGGGAGGTCCACGGGACGGAGGAGATGATGGTGGGATGGGAGGTCCATGGGATGGAGGAGATGATGGTGGGATGGGAGGTCCATCGGATGGAGATGATTGTGGGATGGGAGGTCCATGGGGTGGAAGAGATGATGGTGGGATGGGAGGTCCATGGGATGGAGTGGTGAGCTGGGACCATCGGACACCCCAGGACCCTCAGACACCCCAGGAGCCTCAGCTGCTCCAGGACCTGTGGCTGCCCAGGAGCTTCAGCTGCCCTGGAATCCTTGGACATCGTGGGGGCTCCAGGCAGAGCTTGGCAAGATGGAAAATGGGGAAATCCATGGATTTGTCTCAATCCTGGAGCGAGAGGGGGATTTGGAGAGGCTGCGTTGGAGCCCTGGAAGTGGGGGGCACTGGGGCCATGTCTGGGTGTCTTGGGGTGCAGGGTGTGGGGCCACGCTGGGGGTTGGGGACCCCTGGGGTTGTGATGGGAGAGGGGACCCCGAGAACCACCCCAAAAACTGCTCTGGGATGGGGCTCTCCAAAACCTGGTTTGAGGCGGGGTCTCCCAGAGCTGCCCCGGGATGGGGGACCGGGGGTCAAGGTCCCCGTGAGCCACCAAAGGACGGGGCCGGGCCCGGCGAGTCCGGGGGGAGCCCCGAATCCCCGTGAGGGGAGGGGCGGGGCAATAAGAGGGGCGTGGTCGTTGGGGGCGTGGTCTGCAGAGCAGTCATGGGGAGGGGCGATCGGGGCGCGGCCTAGAAGCGAGGGGGCGTGGTTTAATCAGGGGCGTGCAGATCGGGGCGGGGTTGCGTAGGGGGCGTGGCCTCGAGGCCAAGGGGCGGGGTTAGCCGAGGGGGCGTGGCCTGCCGGTGCAGGGGGCGGGCCGTGCCGGTGCGGTTCCGGGGCGGGCCCGCGGCAGCGCGGCGGGGCCGGGCCGGGCCGGAGCCGGAGCTGTCGGTGTCATGGCGCTGAACCTCGGCAAGAACGGGCGGGCGCTGCAGGAGGCCTACGGGCGGGTGGTGGCGGCGGGGAGCCCGACGGACTGGTGAGGGCCGGAGGCGGGCGGGAAGGGTCCGGAAAGGGAGAGTGAGGGGGCCCGGAAGGGATGTGGGGTGCATGGGGGGGATGGGGGGTGCACGGGGGTGATGGGATGTGGGATGCGTGGGGGTGATGGGGGATGGGTGCATGGGGGTGATGGGGGGATGTGGGGTGCATGGGGGGATGGGGGGTTGGGTGTATGGGGGGGATGGGGGGATGTGGGGTGCATGGGGGGGGATGGGTGCATGTGGGTGATGGGGGATGTGGGGTGCATGGGGGGATGTGGGGTGCATGGGGGGATGGGGGGTTGGGTGCATGGGGGCGATGGGGGGATGTGGGGGGGTGGGGGTGGGGTGATGGGGGGATGTGGGGTGTATGGGAGCAATGGGGGGATGTGGGGTGCATGGGGGATGGGGGAGGATGGGTGCATGGGGGTGATGGGGGGATGTGGGGTGCATGGGGGTGATGGGGAGGGGTGTGGAGTGTATGGGGGGATGGGTGCATGAGAGTGATGGGGGGATGTGGGGTGCATGAGGGGGATGTGGGGTGCATGTGGAGGCTGTGGGATGCATATGGGTGCTGTGGGGGTGCATGTGGGGGTGTTCCAGGGGGTTGTAGGGTGTATAGGGTGGGAATCTGAGGGGGAGTGGGAGGCAGAAGTGGAACCTGGATAGGGAGGTTGGGGGGGGCAGGTAGGGTTTTGGGGGTGCATAGGGGAAGGTTTAAGGCTTGGCTGGTGCCTCAGTGGGGCTGTGGGGTGGGAACTGTGAATGAGCAGCGTGGGGGTATCTGTGGGGTGCATGGCAGGGACTGGAGGTGAGGGGGTGGTGGGGATGTGGGGGCAGAGATCAGGGGATGTGTGGTGTTGGGGGGCAGGCAGCACGGGGACCCCATTGCAGTGTGTGCATTGGGGCGAGGACACCCCAAAGGGCACCGTGAGCTTTTGGGGTGCACCGCAGGGGCTCAGCTCCGCTCTTGCCTTCACTTCAGGGCTCTGTTCACCTACGAAGGCAACAGCAACGACCTGCGCGTGGCCGGCTCCGGGGGTGAGTGCAGGGGGGGGGACCATGGATGAGGATGGGGCTGTTTGCAGGGCTCTGCACCCCGCATCCAGCAGGGTCCTGTGCTGTGTTTGTGCCTCAAGCCCTGAGCATGGGAGCAGTGGGGGGGGCTTGGGGCAGGTTCTGGGTCTCTTTTCCTGGTGTTTTTCCATAAGGTTGTGAAGTTTGGGTCCCGGTGCCTCTCTGCAGGGGTTTAGATCCCAGCTGCCCACAAAGGAAGGACCGGGAAGCGCTTCCTGGCTTTCCCAGGCTGGTGATTCCAGGCTGCTGCTGCTCTGCTCTCTTTGCTTCCCCACTTGATGGGGGTCAGTGTGTGTGTTCCTTATGTGGCTGCTGGAGCTGGGGCAGTGCAGGCAGGCAGGATGCTCTGCTCTCCATCTGCATCCTGCAGCGTTCCCTGCCCGATTGCCTTTCCCATTTGGAAGCGGTTCCTCACAATCCACAAGCTCTCGGTGCTTGGGGTTGGGGAGTTGGGCAGGGAGTAACTTGATGAAATAGAACAAGGGAAAGTGTAGAGTCCTGCATCTGGGCAGGAACAACCCCAGGTTCCAGTATAGGTTGGGGAACGACCTGTTAGAGAGCAGTGTAGGGGAGAGGGACCTGGGGGTCCTGGTGGACGACAGGGTGACCATGAGCCGACACTGTGCCCTTGTGGCCAAGAAGGCCAATGGCATCCTGGGGTGTATTAGAAGGGGGGTGGTTAGTAGGTCGAGAGAGGTTCTCCTTCCCCTCTACTCTGCCCTGGTGAGACCCCATCTGGAATATTGTGTCCAGTTCTGGGCCCCTCAGTTTAAGGAGGACAGGGACCTGCTGGAGAGAGTCCAGCGCAGGGCAACTGAGATGATGAAGGGAGTGGAGCATCTCCCTTATGAGGAGAGACTGAGGGAGCTGGGTCTCTATAGCTTGGAGAAGAGGAGACCGAGGGGTGACCTTATTAGTGTATATCAATATATAAAGGGGGAGTGTCCCGAGGATGGAGCCAGGCTCTTCTCAGTGGCAAACAATGATAGGACAAGGGGCAATGGGTGCAAACTGGAACACAAGAGGTCCCTTCCAATCTCTAACATACTGGGGTACTGTGATACTGTGAAACGGGGCGGCGGGTCCTAGTGCAGTGCAGAGACCTGCTGGAAAGCAGTCACTGCTTTTCCAAGGGTCCCACAACCCCAAGCAGGAGGAGCTGTGGCCGGGGGATGTTTCTCTTGAAAAGACACGGCCTTTTTTTGTGTTTTCTCTCCTTTTCTGGCAGTTTTTTGGCCTCATCTTCCAGCAGGAGCGATGCTGCGGTCCATGGGGCAGCGCAGCCCTGCCCATCGAGCACCCTCTGGTCACTGAGCAGAGCTGGGCTCTGCTTCTCCATCCCTGAGCCCTGCCCTGGGGGTTACACCAGTGAGGAGGGTGCGGGCTGGGGTTTCCTCCTGCTTTACCCTGCACCAGCTTCCTGCTTGGTGAAGCGCCAGAGGTGGAAGGAGGGAGGGGAACAAGGCCCAGCTGGTTCCTCCTTTGCTGCTCAGGACTGCCCTGATCCTCCCCATGCTGTTTGCTGGTGGTGGAGGTGCTCTCCTTGCAGCATGGGTTTGGGTAGGAGCATCCTTCCCACTGTGGGTACCTGCCTCACAGCCTCTCCTTTCCCTCCTGGGGCAGATGGTGGCCTGGAGGAGATGGTGGAGGAGCTCAACAGCGGGAAGGTGATGTACGCCTTCTGCAGGGTGAAGGACCCCAACTCCGGCCTGCCCAAATACGTCCTCATCAACTGGGTGAGTGGGGACTGGCCTTCACCTTTCCCAGGAAGGGCCTCGGGGGGGAAATCACCGTTTCTCCCTTCAATTCCCTTTGGAATTGCTCCCTTCCTGCACATTGAATCCCTTCCACCAAGCTGCAGTACCAAGGACTTCCCATGCCCACTGCTGTGGATGCATAGCCCAAGCCCCATGGATGCAGGCAAAGAGAAACAGGGAGGATTCCCTTCCCTGTTGCAGCTCTCTGGCCATGGAGCTCGCTTGGCTGCTGGTGACACTGCTGGCAAATGGCTCTGAACCCATCTAGGATGGGTTGAGTGAAGCACCTGAGGGGGGGCAGGAGCCTGGAGCCCTCATGGTGCTGCCATTGTCATAGCATCATGGAATGGTTTGGGTTGAAGGGAGCTTAAACCTCACCCAGCTCCATCCCCTGCCACAGCAGGGACCCCTTCCACTGGAGCAGCTTGCTCCAAGCCCCTGTGTCCAACCTGGCCTCCACTCTCTTCACAGACTGGGGAAGGTGTGAATGACGTGAGGAAAGGAGCCTGCGCCAACCACCTCAGCACCGTAGCCAACTTCCTAAAGGTCTGCTCCTCTTCCCTGCTTCCTCCCCACATCCATGGCCCCTGGCTTAGGGAATGGCCATGGGGACCCTGCTCGGCTCACACTGCTCTTTGGGTGGCACAGAGGTGTCTGCAGGCGGGAGCTCGGGGCTCCCTCCACTGTCACAACCCTTCTGCAGTCAAAACCAGCTCTGGAGACTGCAGAGGAGGGGGAAAAGCCCCTTTGATCCCCAGGGAATGTTTGATTTCTCAGTGTTGGGATATCTTAACACGGCTGGGGACCTCTTGTACTCACCTGAGCCCTTCTCCTTCCCTTGGGAGCTCTGGGAGCACAGATGGGACCCATCAAGGCAGTGTGATGGGTTGGTTTAGTGGCTCCTAGAGCCACCCTCTCACTCCCTGCTTGCCTTTCCCCCTGCTCAGGGGGCTCATGTCACCATCAACGCTCGCGCCGAGGAGGACGTGGAGCCTGAGCTCATCATGGAGAAGGTGGCCAAGGCCTCTGGGGCCAACTACAGCTTCCACAAGGAGAACAGCAAGTTCCAGGACTCGGGCCCTCAGGCTCCTGTGGTGAGTTGGCTCCAATGGGGGGCTTCCTGTGGGGTTGCTCAGTGCCTGCTGCTCACAGGTGCTGCCTTTGCCTCCCCCAGGGCTCTGTCTATCAGAAGACGAACGCGATGTCCGAAATCAAGAGGGTCAATAAGGATAACTTCTGGGCCAAAGCAGAGGTGGGTGCTGGAGGGGGAGGCTTTAGGGGGAGGTTTGTCTCCATCTGCACCTTCCCTCTCTGACCTGCCTGGAGTCAGGATCCAGACCCCAAGTGAGGATGGAGCTGGGTGCATTGGTGGCACGGTGTGGGTAAGGCCCAGCAGCATCAACCCCGTGCTCTGCTGTGTGTGCCCTGGTAGAAGGATGAAGAGAACCGGAGGCTGGAGGAGAAGAGGAGAGCAGAGGAGGAGCGGCAGCGGCTGGAGCGGGAGCGGAGGGAGCGGGAGCTGCAGGAAGCAGCAGGGAGGGAGCAGAGATTCAAAGCGAGATCCAATGAGATCGAAGCCCAAAAGTGAGTCCCTGCCACTGGCGCTGCTCAGAGCCCATCCTGCTCTTGGGGTCTCTTGGCTCTGCTCTCAGGGGTGCCCTTGTCCCTTCCGAGCTGCGGGCAGAGCTGTTCCTCAGCTCCTGTGTGTGCATTCCCTGCTGCTGCAGTCACTGCACTTCCACTTCACAGCATCACAGTACCCCAGTATGTTAGAGATAGGAAGCGACCTCAAAAGCTCATCCAGTCCAATCCCCCTGCCGGAGCAGGAACACCTGGATAAGGTTACACAGGAACGTGTCCAGGCGGGTTTTGAATGGCTCCAGAGAAGGAGACTCCACAACCTCCCTGGGCAGCCTGTTCCAGTGTTCTGTATGAATTCATTTACTTTGTTTTACTTCAGTGGGGCTGCAAACTGGTGCACAGTTCATTCAAACAGGGTTTTTGAAGGAATACATCTTCAGGTTTTGCAAAAAAAGGGCAGAGGTTATTAGATTTAAGGAAAAGTTTGCTTACCTTTCTGTTTAACCCAAAGTGACAATGCCTACAATTATAAAACTTTATGAAAATGGAAAAGTTAAATCACAGCTAAATCACTTCACCTACCAAATTTGGGAAAAAATGGTCTTATCTGGCCATTAACACCTTCCAGGTAATCTGCAAATGAACCTCCTTTCATTCCACATCATCAAACAAGCACATACTTTCTTCAGATTAGTCCCACCACAAAGATATTTAACATTACTGTTTCTATCTTCTTCACCTCCTCTAGGAGAAACAGGTCTTCAGTTCCCCATGCCCCTAGTCCATCCAGTATTTTTGCTGGGATCAGACTACCTGAAAACTGTTGGACACTTTATGTTCCTTGTGATGCAGAGGGAACAATGGGGTGTGAAGGGGATTGGCTTCAGGTCACACTGGGGCAGGTTCAGCCCCGTGGTGCTCTGCCTTTGGGGCTCTGATCCCCCTCCTAGTGCTTGTGGGGCCCGAGCCAGCATCGCTCTGCTCCTGCTGATGGGAAGGGGTTGAGTTCCCTTTGCTCACTGTCCTGGAGGGTTGGCCGGGCTGTGGGCTCCTCCAGCTTGAGTGGGGATAGCATCTCCCTGGCCAAACCACAGCCACGTCCAGCAGCATCCATGGCTCTCCCTGCCCCAGGACCAAGCCTGAAACGTGTTACTGAAGCCCATAGCCACTGTTTGTGGGGTACCAGGGGTTCAGGCTGGCTGATGGAGGGCTCTGAGCCCTGCAGAGAGGAGGCAGCATGTGCAGGGCCCGGCATTGTGCTCTCTCTGCTGATTTCCTTCCTCTCTGAGCCTGTGTTGGGCGGTGGAGCTCGCTCTGCAGCAGCAGTGGGCACTGCCTTCCTGTTTGGAGCTCGGATGGGGAAGTCTGCCTGGTCCCTCCATGCCGGATGCTCGTGTCTGTGCTGCTGGAGGAAGAGCTGCTGCTGCTCTGCCCCTCTGCCCTTGCCCCCTGCACAGCTCCAGGGGTGGCCTGAGGCTCCTCATCCGGCCCAGCAGTGAGGGGCAGTGTCCTTCCTGTGCTCTTCCCTGGGTAGCTCAGCAGGGCAAGGTCCCAGAGCAGCCCCATGCAGGGCAAAGCCCTCATCCTGCCTGGTTGCTAACCTCACTTTATCACTTGCCTCCCCAGGAGACTCCAGCAGCAGCAAGAGGCAGAGCTCAGGGACAAGGAGCAGCAGCAATGGGTGAGCTTCAGTGTTAGCCCCTGTTTCTTCCCCCAGTGTCCATGATGGAGAGCACAGGGTGCTGTGGGGCAGGGGCAGGAGGTTGATGGAGGAGCTCCCCAGGCACTGAGAGCTCAGTGTGGAGAAGAGCCTGGAGGAAACTGAGTCCGTATCTGGAGCCCAGCAAACCTGCATCTCGCTCCAGCTGCAGGGGGTTTCTCCTCATTCACCCTCCAGCACCGTGGCTGTTCCCTGTTCCCATTTCCCCAGTCCTTGGGGCTGCCTGGGGAGATTGGGGCTGGCCGGGCCCCCCCAGAGCCTGCAGGAAACCCTCTTGTGCTGCAGAAGGAGCGGGCAGAGGAGTACGAGGCCAGGAGGCAGAAGGGCATCACAAGGAGTGAGTCGGTGGAGAAGGCACAGGTACAGAGCCAGGCTCCCTGCTCCCATCCTCCTTTGGCTCCATAGGGGGGGCATTGACCCTGGGCTCTTCCCTTTGCAGGAGGCTGCCTCGCTGATAGCACAGAGAGAGGTGAACCCCCGGGACATCTTCAAGCAGAGGGAGAGGTCGGTGCCAGTGGAGGCAGCAGTGGCTTCGCAGCCAGGTACAGCAAGGAGCTGGTTCCCAATCCCAATCCCAATCCCAATCCTGGGTCAGCCTCTGTGTGTTACCTGTGAGGCCACAGTTCCTGCCCCCCCACAGTGTTCTCTGCCGTGGGCAATGTCACACCCAGCCCATGTAGTTTTCCATGGTAAGGCTCTTGCTGGGGGCTGTGCCAGGATTTGGCAGCTGGGGTGAGAGTTTTCATGCTTTGGCTCTGCTTCTGGAGCTTAAACTTCGTATTTAAAATGAAAATCAAGCATATTAATGGTAGAAAGGGACCCCTGTCCTGGTGTGTCCTGGCTGCCATCCATTCACCTGCACTGGGCACTGGGGAGGCTGCACCTTGAACCCTGTGTTCAGTTCTGGGCCCTCACTACAAGGGAGACATTGAGGGGCTGGAGCGGGGCCAGAGAAGGGAATGGAGCTGGTGCAGGGCCTGGAGCACAGGGGTGATGGGGAAGGGCTGAGGGACCTGGGGGGTTCAGATGGAGAAGGGAAGGCTCAGGGGGGACCTGATGGCTGCCTCCAACTGCCTGACAGGAGGATGGAGCTGGGCTCTGCTCCCAAGGAACAAGGGATGGGACAAGAGGAACCGGCCTCAAGCTGCACCAGGGCAGGTTTAGATGGAGCTGAGGAACAATTCCTGCCCCAGAGGGTGCTCAGGCATTGGAACAGGCTGCCCAGGGCAGGGTCCCTGCAGGTGCTCACACCCCCTCAGTGCCATGGGGTGGCCGTGGCAGCGCTGGGGTAAGGGTTGGACTGGGTGAGCTTAAAGGGCTTTTCCAACCTGGCTGATTCTGTGATTCATTCCCCCCGTTTTCCACTGGCTGAACCAAGCAGCAGTGTGTTCTTTCAGAAGAGACCAATCTGCTCTAAGATCTGATCAGATAGAAAGCAGGAAGCTGAGGAAGCAAAGCTGAAAGCAGCTGAGGAAGCAGCTGAGCACCCGTGCTAGCTCAATGCTCTCAGGCAGCTCAGCCTCCTCCCATCTATCTGGAGTTCATCTGGAAGAAGCACTTCTGTGATAGGAGCACACAATCCCTTGGGGTTTCCCTCCCCAGTGGCTTCCAGTGGTGGAAAGGGAGACAAGTGCCCTGGTACTGGTAAAACCCAGGGGCTGAGGGCAGGTTTGTGAGCCTTGGTGCTTGTTCAGGGCTGTGCTGGGGTAGGGTTTGCCTCGTAACTCTCCTGCTTTGCTTTTGTTTGCCTTTGGAGGTGTAGATGGAGGAGATACAGGCAGAGTTACCCGCTGCCAAAGGAGCAGTTTGAATCCTACCCCTCCCATTGCTGCTCCTAATGTCTGGAATTCAGGGCCTGGGTGACCCCATCCTCCCCAGAACTCTTCCTCCCCCCAAAACGTGCCTTTCTCTTCTTTGTGCTGCAGCTCCTGCTGTAACCAGGAGACAAACTCGTTTTCCACAGCCAGGATTAGAGCTGGAAAATCCTGCTTAGGAGGCTGATGGAGCTGGGGGCTCCTATGGCAAAAAGCACCCGACAGCCCCCCTCTGTAACTGAACCCTTTGGGCCATGGAGCTGTTGCTGCATGGAGGAAGCCTCAGCACTGGCCCTGCTCCTGCAGCTCATCCCTATCCTTTCCTAGGCAAGCTTCGCAGCCCTTTCCTGCAGAAGGAGGTGGACTCAGCCCCGAGCCCTGCCTGCCCCGTGTCCCCTGCCCGGGGCACTGCTCCCACCGCCTTCATCCCCTCTGGTGCCCGGGGGACGCCTCCAGCCTCTCCGGTGCCCGCAGCAGGTACGTGGTGTAGCTGTGCACTGACAGAGTCCCCAAGGGGCAGCTTGAGGCCAGGCTCTGAGTTTCTGGTTCAGGTCTTCAGGCCAGAAACCAGAGTTTGTCCCAGGGCTGAGCGTGATGCTGAGGCTGGGGAAGGAGGGGAGTTACTGCTGCCTGCTGGGGAGGTCCCTGCGTTGCCTCCTTCAGCCTTCCAGTGCCTGAAGGGGCTGCAGGGAACCTGGAGAGGGGCTTGGGACAAGGGCTTGTAGGGACAGGCCAAGGGGAATGGCTTGAACCTGCCCGAGGGGAGACTGAGCTGAGCTCTTAGGCAGAAGCTCTTCCCTGTGAGGGTGCTGAGGCACTGGCACAGGGTGCCCAGAGAAGCTGTGGCTGCCCCATCCCTGGCAGTGCTCAAGGCCAGGTTGGACACAGGGGCTTGGAGCAAGCTGCTCCAGTGGAAGGGGTCCCTGCCCATGGAAAGGATTGGAGCTGGATGAGCTTTAAGCTCCCTTCCAACAGTGACCAGGCTGAGTCTGTGATAAGCAGAGGGCTCAGTGGCCGAGGGGCTGAGGACATCTCCTGGCTGAAAGGCTGAAATTCAGCTCCGTGCACCCCCAGAGCCCCTCCTGCTGCAGGGGATGTGAAGTTTGCTCCCAGGCCTTTCCAAAATGCCTTCGAGAGAAGCCAAGGACCTTTTCTGCCCCTGTGCAGGAGCAGCTCGGGCGGTCAGGGCTGTTTCATCACCCCAGGGAAGGCAGAGGGTTGGTGCCTGTTGTCAGTGCACGGTTGCAGGGCTCCCTGCACATCGCTGCCCTCACTGGGGTGATGGCAGGGAGAGGGACCCGTGCTGGGGAGAGCTTGCTCTGCTCTGTCCTCTCCAGGAGGTCTGTATGGGGAGAGCAAGCCTGGAGGAGGGCTGGTTGCATCCAAAGGGTCTCCCCATGGGCTGAGGGTGACATTGGGGTGTTCACATCCCTGCTGCTTGGCCCCGTGCTGCTCACGGCCCTGCCCAAGGCTACCGCAGTCACCACTAGATGCTGCTCTTGACCAGGGTCTCTGCACCAAGCCTTCCCCATCAGGCTTGAGGAGCAGCTTGGGAATGGTTCATCCTGAGCAAGCTTCTTCCTTTCCCCATTGGAGGGCCTGGATCTCTCCCTTGTCTTTCCTATCATTCCATAAGCCCCCACTGGCCCCATGGGTTTGTGCTTGCTGGGCAGGAGGTCAGGGAGCATCCATGCATCATGAGTTTGGTGGCACTTCAGCCTGGAGCAGGAGCTGGACCAGTGAGGGGCGAGGGGGAGGTTTTGGGGGTACCGTGGTGAGATCCCGTGTGCTTCCTTCACAGGGCGAGACTCGGGGTACAATTCCAGCGTCCCAGCTTCCCATGAGGAAGAGGCAAACCTCTATGAGGAGCCACCGGACTCCTCAGCCATCTATGAAGAACCCCCTCAGGTTGGTGCAATGGGATCTAAAACCAGTGGGGATCCCCCAAGCTCGGGCTGCATCCCCATGGGAATGCTGCTGCATCCTTCCCATTGCCAACAGGGAGCCGTGTTGGCTCTGAGCCCCTCTCACCGACTGCCCTAGGAGGTGATGATGGGGAAGGCTCTCAGCAGCCTCTCTCCTCCTCCTCCTGCTTTGCACGTCCCAGCCCATCAGAGCAGACAAAGCCCAGCTCTGTGGTGTGCTCTGTCAGCTTCTCCACTGTCTAATAGCAGGGTTGTGTCATGCTGCAGTGTTTCCCTTGGAGATGCGGTGGCCCTGTGGTTTCCTCTCCTTTAGTCATCCGCCCCTTCCCGGCTCTCAAACACAGAAGCATTTCAGACAGACTTGATCTGCTCATTCCCAAATCTGTCTGGAAGGGTTCAGCTTCCAGAGGAGCAGGGCTGGGGCTGAAACTGGAGCTGGTCCAGCTTCAACGGGTGCATCCATGGGGACGGTGAACCCCTGTCTGCAGCAGAGATCCCAAGGGATGTGGACTGGCTGCTGCCAGAGGGGTTGCCTGCTGCTGGTTTCTGGTGCTTCTGGTTAGGATGCTCCTTTAGGAGTCCATAGAGACACTTGGTGTGAGCTTCCCAGAGCCAACCTCCTGCACACAATGCTCTGATCCTTTGGGGGCTGCTCCGAGCCTCTGGGTGTTGTACACCTCCTTCCCACTGTTTCTCCTGCAGTTCAACAACTCCCCGTCCACCCAGTGAACCAAGGCGGGTTGTGATGTGCACCCCATTGTGTTGGGGTGGTGAGAGCCTGTTCTGCAGCCCCTTGCTCTGCTAACAAAGCCCCACTGCATCCTGCACACTGGTAACTCCTGTTCTTCTCTCTCCTTCCTGAAGGAACATGTGGATGATGCCAAATACGAGTACCCGGTGGAGTACCAGCAGCCGGACCTGACGGGGAAGGGGATCTGTGCCCGGGCGCTATATGACTACCAGGCTGGTAGGAGCTGCAGAGCCCAGCTCCCCCTCTGACCCTAGGGAGGGGGGCTTGCTGGGTCCAGTCTGTTTCCATCTTGCTCCTCCATAGAGGGTCTTACACCCAGACTGGGGCTGGAGTGGTTTGGGTTGAAGGGAGCTTAAAGCCCATCCAGCTCCAATCTCTGACATGGGCAGGGACCCCTTCCACTGGAGCAGCTTGCTCCAAGCCCCTGTGTCCAACCTGGCCTTGAGCACTGCCAGGGATGGGGCAGCCACAGCTTCTCTGGGCACCCTGTGCCAGCGCCTCAGCACCCTCACAGGGAAGAGCTTCTGCCTAAGAGCTCAGCTCAGTCTCCCCTCGGGCAGGTTCAAGCCATTCCCCTTGCCCTGTCCCTACAGGCCCTTGTCCCAAGCCCCTCTCCAGGTTCCCTGCAGCCCCTTTAGGCACTGGAGCTGCTCTAAGGTCTCCCCTTCAGGAGCCTTCTCTTCTCCAGGCTGCCCCAGCCCAGCTCTCTCAGCCTGGCTCCAGAGCAGAGCTGCTCCAGCCCTCCCAGCATCTCCATGGGAGATGCTGCATCTCCATCTCTTTCTCCCCTAACATCTGTTTCTCACTTCCCTCTCTTCCCTCCCTCTCTCTGCCTCATTCCAGCCGATGACACTGAGATCTCCTTTGATCCAGAGAACATCATCACCAACATCGAGATGATCGATGAGGGCTGGTGGCGCGGGTACGGCCCCGACGGCCACTTTGGCATGTTCCCGGCCAACTACGTGGAGCTGATCGAGTGAGGGGCCATGGGGCTCGCCCCCAGGCTGCTCCCAGTCCTCCCAATGGCTCTGCCTTCGAGTTCCTCCTCTTTTGACTCTGATTCTCTCTCCACACTGGTGCCATCGCCCTGCTCCCGGTGGGGCTGACCCCAGCACTGCTCCCTTCTCCCATCCCCTATTGCTGGCCCTTGGTTGGGATGAAGGCCCCAGTCCCATCCCAAGCCTTTGGGTCAGGCTCTGAATTCTCTTGCTGGGCTCAAGGATAAGGGATGACGAATCCCTTCCAGGGTATTTTCAGGGAACAAGTTGCCTCTTTCCCCACGCTCCCTCTGACCCTGTGGCCACCACAGAGCAGTTTTCCCCATTCCGGCTCGCTGGCGAGGCCCTTGCATTGCTTTTAGGGGTTTAACATCACCTGCAGAGGTGAAACCTCCTCTGCAGCGTTGCCACCACCCCTGAACCTCGCCATGAGCATCCCCCTCTGCTGTCCCCACCACAGGGGTTCGCTTTTCTCTTCCCTGTCCCCAAACCACGCTCCAGGCTGTGTGAATGAGCTCCCGTGGAGGGGGGCCAGCGAGGCCAAAGGGGGGGTTTGGGTCTGTCTTTTGGTCTGTCTCCCATGGGACCCCCCAATCACCCCAAATTCACTGTGAACAAGGAAGAGCCCAGCCCAGCCGCCACCTTCCCCTTGTTGAGTCTCTTCCCTGGTGTTGCTTTAGGAGTAGAAGGAGAGGATGGGTTTGAGGGTGCCCGTTCCCCCTGTGGCCCTGTGGGCTCTTTCCCCACTGCTTGCTCCTCCCCATCCCTCCCAGCAACAATAAAAGGGCTTTTCTTTGGTGATGGATGTGTGGTCCCGTGCAGGAATTGGGGTGAAATGCCAGTGTTTTGGTGCAGGGAGGGCAGAGCTCTCCTGTTCCCAACATCAGCTCTGAGCACTAAGGGGAATCACCCCATGGTTTTGGAATGGGTGCCCCAGCATCAGGCAGTGAGGGGCAGGACTTGGCCCCATCCCTTTATTCACTGGGGCCTAGGTGCAGGATGGGGAACATGCTTTGGGATGGGGACAGTGTGGGGACAGCAGGGACATGGGGGTGATAGGCACAGGGATGCACAGTGTTGAGGGCATGCGGGTGATGGGGGTGCAGCAGGAGTGGGGAGCTTGTGTTGGCACAGGGTTACTATGGACAGGGCACAGGTTTGGAATGCTGTGGGGATAGGGAAGGGAATGGCATGGATGGTGGGTGGGCAAAGGGATGGGGATGAGGGTGGGGATGACATGGGAATGGGATAGGGATGGAGAAAGGGATGGGGATGACAGAGACAGGATGGGGAAAGGGATGGGATGGGCAAAAGGATGAGGATGGGACAACATGGGGATGGGAAAAGGGATGGGGATGGGAAAAGGGATGGGGATGGGCAAAAGGATGAGGATGGGACAACATGGGGATGGGAAAAGGGATGGGGATGGGCAAAAGGATGAGGATGGGACAACATGGGGATGGGATGGGGATGGGAAAAGGGATGGGGATGGGCAAAAGGATGAGGATGGGACAACATGGGGATGGGATGGGGATGGGAAAATGGATGGGGATGGGCAAAAGGGTGAGGATGGGACAACATGGGGGTGGGATGGGGATGGGATGGAGAAAGAAGGGATGGAGATGGGGCTGGCAGAGGGATGGAGCTGGGGACAGCATGGTTATAGAGCAGGGCACAGGCAGTGGCATGGAGCTGGTACCAGCCCTGTGAAGCCGCAGCCTGGGCACTGACCCCATGGGCTCCCGTTCCCTCACTTCCAGGCAGTGAAGAACTGCTTGAAGAGCGGCGTCTCGTGGCCCTGGGGCAGGATTTCCACCTGGGGGGCAGGGATGTGGGGACGCTGCCTGTGCCAGCCCGTGCCCCCCATCCCTCCCCACTGCACCCACCTGCGTGCGGGGCGAGTGGCCCATGCGGGCGATCACCTCCTCAGCCACCCTCAGGGCCGCCTGGCGCTCCTGCTCGTTGGCCTTGCGCCCTATGGACAGGGACGTCAGAGCCCCATAGGGGATGGGCACTGTCCCCATCCCTATCCCCATCCCTGGGTACCTTTCCACACATAGACCTTCCCTCCGGCACCATTGTCCAGCACGAAGCAGTCATCGGAGCAGAGCACGCTCTGGTTGAAGGGGCTGCTCGCAGCCACTTGGGTCAGGTCCATGCGCCCCGTTGCATCCGACACCTGTGCGGGGACAGGGGGTCAGCTGCAGCATCCCTCATCCGTGCCCTGCCCCATGCATCCCATGGGGCCACCATGGTGTTCCCAGCGCTGGTGTCCCACCATGCCCTTGCCTTGTAGAGGATGGCTGCCCGCGCATTGCTCTGGTCGGCCACGGCGTCCTCCTCGGGGGTGCCCTCTGGCAAGGGGGGTTTGGGGCCCAGCACCTGCAGGGAGAGCGGACTCAGGCCTTAGGAGCACCCCCAGGGGCATTGGGGACCCCCTCTCCTCCCAGTGAGCACATGGGGGTCCTCCCGTACCTGGAGCATCTCCGGTGGCTCCTCGCCATCAGCCACGATCTCCAGGCGGGCTCTGCCCCCCCGCTCGCTGTCCCGGATGGCTGCGGCCAGCTCCTGCGCCCGGCTGCGCTCCAGCGCGTTGCACCCGGAGCCGCACCAGACCAGGAGGCTCTGGGGACAGGGAGAGGGGTGGTGGGGATGGAGCCATCGGTGGGGGCTTCAACCCCGCTCAGCCGGGATGGGGATGGGGCAGTCACAGGCAGACGGCACCCAGACAGACATAGGGGTGGATAAATGGGTGTCCCAATGGATGGATGGATACAGGGATGGATAAATGGGTGTCCCAATGGATGGATGGACACAGGGGTGGATAAATGGGTGTCCCAATGGATGGATGGACACAGGGATGGATAAATGGCTGTCCCAATGGATGCATGGGTACAGGGATGGATAAATGGCTGTCCCAATGGATGGATGGACACAGGGATGGATAAATGGCTGTCCCAATGGATGGATGGACACAGGGATGGATAAATGGCTGTCCCAGTGGATGGATGGACACAGGGATGGATAAATGGCTGTCCCAATGGATGGATGGACACAGGGATGGATAAATGGCTGTCCCAATGGATGGATGGACACAGGGATGGATAAATGGCTGTCCCAGTGGATGGATGGACACAGGCAGATGGGTAAATGCCTGTCCCAATGGACGGATAGACATCCAGATGGAGAAACACCCCAGCAACCACACATGCCTATGGATCAGGGAACCCCCCAACTGACTGATGGGCACCCCAAGACACAGAACTCTCTAAGGACAGCCGGACACCCCTATGGATGGAGCCAGTGGACAGATGGCTACCTTGAAGGGCAGGCAAACAGCACAACAGACTGATACTCGGAGGGACAGGGAGACACCCCAGCAGACAGACACCCCAAGGCAGACACCCCTGTGTGTGCATGGGCACCCCAAGAGAAGGACAAACAGCCAGGGCACCCCACTGAGAGCCCAGGGGACAGATGGGCACCCAGCAGCATTGCCCTGGGTGTGGGGCACAGGGAGGGGATGATGGGGACAGAGCCCCCCCCGCACCTCGCCCAGGTCAAGGATGAAGCAGTCTCCGGTGTTGAAGCTGCTCCAGGCCAGGTCCCTCTCGCTGGCCCGGATGTTCCTCCTGCCCTTGACCTGGTAGAGCCGGTGCCCGGGGCTGGCGCTGGGGCGCGGGGCCTTGAACGCCGAGGCCACGCCACCGTCCTGCAGCATTGAGGGGTTGGGCGCCCATGGTGGGACCAGCATCCACCAGGGATGCTGAGCACCCAGTAGATACCAAGCACCCAAGGGGTGAGGGCTCAGTGCACGGCCCAGCACTCAGTGGGGATGATGAGCACTGAGTACAGGTCCTGAGCACCCAGAGGTGATGCTCGGCACCTACCAGGAAGGCATCGAGCACCCAAAGGTGATGCTGAATGCCAGGCATCTGGTGGTGATGCCCTCAGCAGGATGCTCTATACGTGTCAAGGATGCTGAGCACCCACCATGAGGGCTGAGCACCTACCAGTGATGCCCAGCACCTAGAGGGGAGTCCCACATGCTCACTGGGGATAAGTGAGGGTGCCAAGAGCTTGGTGGTGATGCCAAGCACCAGGTCAGGATGCTGGGCACCAGGTCAGGATGCTGAGCACCGGGTTAGGATGCTGAGCACTGGGTCAGGATGCTGAGCACCGGGTCAGGATGCTGAGCACCGGGTCAGGATGCTGAGCACCAGGTTAGGATGCTGAGCACTGGGTCAGGATGCTGAGCACCGGGTCAGGATGCTGAGCACCATGCGGGATGCCGAGCACCATGCGGGATGCTGAGCACGGGGTCAGGATGCTGAGCACCATGCGGGATGCTGAGCACTGGGTCAGGATGCTGAGCACCGGGTCAGGATGCTGAGCACCATGCGGGATGCTGAGCACCGGGTCAGGATGCTGAGCACCATGCGGGATGCTGAGCACCATGCGGGATGCTGAGCACTGGGTCAGGATGCTGAGCACCGGGTCAGGATGCTGAGCACCGGGTCAGGATGCTGAGCACCATGCGGGATGCTGAGCACCGGGTCAGGATGCTGAGCACCGGGTCAGGATGCTGAGCACCGGGTCAGGATGCTGAGCACCGGGTCAGGATGCTGAGCACCGGGTCAGGATGCTGAGCACCGGGTTAGGATGCTGAGCACCGGGTCAGGATGCTAAGCACGGGGTTAGGATGCCGAGCACCGGGTCAGGATGCTGAGCACGGGGTCAGGATGCCGAGCACCGGGTCAGGATGCTGAGCACCATGCGGGATGCTGAGCACCATGCAGGATGCTGAGCACCATGCGGGATGCTGAGCACTATACGGGATGCTGAGCACCATGCAGGATGCTGAGCACAATGCGGGATGCTGAGCACTATACGGGATGCTGAGCACCATGCAGGATGCTGAGCACAATGCGGGATGCTGAGCACCATGCAGGATGCTGAGCACTATGCGGGATGCTGAGCACCATGCAGGATGCTGAGCACCATGCGGGATGCTGAGCACCATGCGGGATGCTGAGCCCCATGCGGGATGCTGAGCCCCATGCGGGATGCTGAGCCCCATGCGGGATGCTGAGCACTGGGTCAGGATGCTGAGCACCATGCGGGATGCTGAGCACTGGGTCAGGATGCTGAGCACCATGCAGGATGCTGAGCCCCATGCGGGATGCCGGTGCTCAGTGGATGCTGAGTGCCGGGAGCACCGTGGGGCTCTCAGCGGTACCTGGTAGGTGACGCCGTGCGGGAAGTACTGCATGAAGAGGTCGGACTCGTTGCCCTGCACCTCGCGGTGGGTGACGGGCCGCTCCCCCAGCAGCGCGTTCAGCTGCGTGGACAGGAGGGCGCAGGCCCTCTGCTCGTCCTGCGAGGAGTCCCGGCCTGCGGGCACCGGCTGTGAGCTGCGGCTGCCCCCGCAGCCCCCGGTACCTGGTACCCAGCGAGAGCCGCGGCTGCCCCCGCAGCCCCCGGTACCTGGTACCCAGCGAGAGCCGCGACTGCCCCCGCAGCCCCCGGTACCTGGTACCCAGCGAGAGCCGCGGCTGCCCCCGCAGCCCCCGGTACCTGGTACCCAGCGAGAGCCGCGGCTGCCCCCGCAGCCCCCGGTACCTGGTACCCAGCGAGAGCCGCGGCTGCCCCCGCAGCCCCGGTACCTGGTACCCAGCGAGAGCCGCGGCTGCCGGCCCCCGGTACTGGTACCCAGCGGAGCCGCGGCGCCCCCGCAGCCCCGGTACCTGGTACCCAGCGAGAGCCGCGGCTGCCCCCGCAGCCCCCGGTACCTGGTACCCAGCGAGAGCCGCGGCTGCCCCCGGTACCTGGTACCCAGCGAGAGCCGCGGCTGCCCCCGCAGCCCCGGTACCTGGTACCCAGCGAGAGCCGCGGCTGCCCCCGCAGCCCCCGGTGCCCAGCGCGCACCCAGCCAGAGGTGCAGGTGCGCCCGCTCCTCGGGGCCGTTGTGCAGCACCAGGTACGCGTCCCCCGAGAAGAACAAGCCCCAGCTCCGCTCCGGGACCTCCACCGGCCGCAGCTTCTCCACCCTCCAGATGTGCAGCCCCGGGAGGGAGGCGGCGGGGCCGAAAGGGGAACCGCTGGGGGGAAAAGGGGTTGCGGGGGGGAGCGGGGGTGGTTGGGGTGATAGGGGGTGATGGGGAGTGGGGGATGGTGATGGGGGGTGATGGGGGTGTGAGCAGGGGATGATGGGAGGTAATGGGGGTGATGGGGGTGATGGGGGTGATGGGGGGTGATGGGGGGTGATGGGGGTGATGGGGGGTGATGGGGGTGGTGGGGGGTGATGGGGGTTGATGGGGGGTGATGGGGGGTGATGGGGAGTGATGGGGAGTGATGGGAGGTGATGGGGGTATGAGCAGGGGGTGATGGGGAGTGATGGGGGGTGATGGGGGGTGAGGGGGGTTGATGGGGAGTGCAGGATGGTGATGGGGGGTGATGGGGAGTGATGGGGGGTAGGGGGGGTGATGGGGGTGTGAGGAGGGGATGATGGGAGGTGATGGGGGTGATGGGGAGTGGGGGATGGTGATGGGAGGGTGTGAGCAGGGGGTGACGGGGGGTAATGGGAGGGTGATGGGAGGTAATGGGGAGTGATGGGGGTGATGGGGGGTGATGGGGGGTGATGGCGGGTAGGGGGGTTGATGGGAGGTGATGGAACGTGATGGGGGGGTGTAAGCAGGGGGTGATGGGGAGTGACAGGGGGTGATGGGAGGATGATGGGGGGGTAATGAAGGGTGATGGGGGTGTGAACAGGGGGTGATGGGGGGGTGATGAGGAGTGATGTGGGGTAATGGGAGGCGATGGGGGGGGTTGGGAGGAAGGTAGTACCTTGTGGGGATGGCGGTGTACATGGCGTCAGGGTGGATGGATGGACCTGAGGACAGACACAGTAAGGTGAGAACCAGGAGGTCAAGGACACCCCAGCAGGGAGACGGATGCCCCAGTAGAGAGACAGACACCCCTAGGAACAGACGGCTGCCCCTGTGGATAGGGGGACACCCCTACAGACAGACAGACACCCCGATAAACGGGCACGCAGGAAGACAGAGAGACAGACAGAGAGCACAGCGGGTGGGGAGCCCCCCAGGGCGGGCAGATGGACCCCGGGATGGGCAGGCACAGACCCCCCCCTCCCCAACAGAACCCCCCCAACAGACCCCCCCCAACAGACCCCCCCCAACAGAACCCCCCCAACAGACCCCTCCCAATAGACCCCCCCCCAAGAGACCCCCCCCAACAGAACCCCCCCAACAGGCCCCCCCTACAGACCCCGTTGCTCGCAGCGGCTGCACCAGGACTCAAGGATGCCCCAAGCAGCCGCGGGGCACCCGGAAGACGTCGGAGGTGACTCAGGAGCAGGAAAGGGTGGGGACGGGACAGGACGGGGGGGGGATAGCCTTGTGTGGGGCCCCCCCCACTGGGAATGGGGCCCCCCCACTGGGAACGAAACTCCCCCACTGGGAACGAGACCCCCACACTGGGAACGGGGCCCCAACACTGGGAACGGGGCCCCCCACTGGGAATGGGGCCCCCACACTGGGAACAAGACCCCCACACTAGGAACGGGCCCCTCCCACTGGGAACGAGACCCCCACACTGGGAACGGGGCCTCCACACTGGGAACAAGACCCCCCCACTGGGAACGGGCCCCCCCCACTGGGAACGGGGCCCCCACACTGGGAACGAGCCCCCCCACTGGGAACGGTGCCCCCCCACTGGGAACGGGGCTCCCCCACTGGGAACGGGCCCCCCCCACTGCTGGGACCCCCCCTTCACCATCGTGGCGCTCTCCCCTCTCCATTGGGATCCCCATCCCACCATGAACCCCCCCCTGCACTGCTGGGACCCCCAACTCCACAGGGGCTGGGGCAGGGCTGAGGGGGGTGTACTGGGTGCAGGGGGCATACTGGGAGCTGCACTTGGGTTGTACTGGGAGGGGGTTGTACTCGGGTATGGGGGGGCTGTAATGGGGGTCTATGAGGGGTTGGGGAGGCTGTAATGGGAGCAGAGCTGGAAGGCGGGGGCATTACTGGAGGTTGTATGGGGCTCATTGGGAGGCAGTGGGAGCTGCACTGGAAGCATTGGGAGGCACTGGGAGCTCCACTGGGAGGGACTGGGAAGCACTGATAACATGAGGAGCTGCACTGGGAGCACTGGGATGGATTGGGAGGCCCTGGGAGCTGCACTGGGAGGGACTGGGAAGCGCTGATAACATGAGGAGATGCACTGGGAGCACTGGGATGGATGGGGAGGCGCTGGGAGCTGCACTGGGAGGCACTGGGAAGCACTGATAACATGAGGAGCTGCACTGGGAGCACTGGGATGGATTGGGAGGCACTGGGAGTTGCACTGGGAGGGACTGGGAAACACGGATAACATGAGGACCTGCACTGGGATGGATTGGGAGACACTGGGAGCTGCACTGGGAGGAACTGGGAAGCACGGATAACATGAGGAGCTGCACTGGGAGCACTGAGGGGGATTGGGAGGCACTGGGAAGCACTGCTAACATGAGGAGCTGCACTGGGGTGGATTGGGAGGCACTGGGAGCTGCACTGGGAGGCACTGATAACATGAGGAGCTGCACTGGGAGCACTGGGATGGATTGGGAGGCACTGGGAGCTGCACTGGGAGCACTGGGATGGATTGGGAGGCAATGGGAGCTGCACTGGGAGCACTGGGATGGATTGGGAGGCACTGGCAGCTGCACTGGGAGCACTGGGATGGATTGGGAGGCGCTGGGAGCTGCACTGGGAGGCACTGGGAGCTGCACTGGGAGCTGCACTGGGAGCACTGGGATGGATTGGGAGGCGCTGGCAGCTGCACTGGGAGGCACTGGGATGGATTGGGAGGCGCTGGGAGCTGCACTGGGAGGCAGTGGGAGCTGCACTGGGAGGCACTGGGATGGATTGGGAGGCGCTGGCAGCTGCACTGGGAGGCACGTGGCGTGCTCCCCGCAGCCCCCCCGCAGCATGGCTGGGCCGTGACTCACGCGTGGGACGAGTGCGAGCGGCCTCAGCCCCAGCGCGGCCCGGGGAGCCTGCGGGCCCCGGGGGGGGGGGGGGGATGCTCTGAGCGGTGCGGGTGCGGTGCGGGCCGTGCGCAGCGGGGCACGGTCCCTGCGGGCGGTGCTGCCCGGCCCGTGTGTGCGGTGCCTGCTCCGTGCGCGGCTCTGGGCGATGTGCGGGGGGGGGGAGGGGTCCAGATGTGCTGTGCACGCAGAGCCATGGATGTGATGGGAGCGTGCCCGGGCCCGTGTGCCCGCACAGTGCCGGGGGGTGCGGGGCCAGCGCCCGCTCCCGTGCAGAGCTGGTGCCGCCTGGTGCCCGTGCGGTGCCGGTGCCGTCCCAGCACCGCACAGTGCTGGTGCTGCTGCTGCCAAGCGACCCCCATGCAGTGCCAGTGCCATTGCAGTGCCCGTTCGGTGCTGGCGGCACTGCCGAGCGGGTCCTGCGCACTGCCGGTCCCGTGATGATGCCGGTGCCGGTCCCGGTCCCGTTGTTCCCGATGCCGGTCCCGTGATGATGCCGGTGCCGGTACCGTGCTGATGCTGGTCCTGGTGCCGGTCCCGTTGTTCCCGGTGCCGGTCCCGTGCTGATGCCGGTCCCGGTCCCGGTCCCGTGCTGATGCCGGTCCTGGTGCTGGTCCCGTGCTGATGCCGGTCCCATTGTTCCCGGTGCCGGTCCCGTGCTGATGCCGGTGCCGGTCCCGGTCCCGTGCTGATGCCGGTCCCGGTCCCGTGCTGATGCCGGTGCCGGTCCCGTGCTGATGCCGGTCCCGGTGCCAGTCCCGTTGTTCCCGGTGCCGGTGCCGGTGCGGGTCCCGTGCTGATGCCGGTGCCGGTGCCGGTCCCGTTGTTCCCGGTGCCGAGCGGTTCCCTCTCTCCGCCGTCCCCCCGCCCCATTCGCCTCCGCTCCATCGGTGCCGCCCCCGCCCGCCCCCGCCGCCGCCCCCCGTCCCCCTCCCGCTCTCCCGTTCCCGGCCCGGTCCCGGCGGCATCGCACGATGGGGCCGCCCCGGTCGTGCCTCGTGCTCGCGGCCGCGCTGCTGCCGCTGCTGCCGGCCGGGGCCGCACCGGGACCCTCCGAGCCCGGACCCGCGGTCACCGACGCCGAGATCGAGGCGTTCCTGCGCGGCCTCCTCGGCACCGGAGACCGCGACGGGGATGGGGATGGGGACGGCGACGGCACCGACCTGGGCTTCGGCATCGACCCGAGCATCGGCACCGGCAGCGACACCGGTGAGCGAGGGCGCCGCGGGGGTGCAGCGGGGAGGGACGGAACCCCTCGGCCTGGCCTTGGCGCCCCTCACCCCGCGGCGGGGCGGCTGCAAACCCCCCCCCCCCCCTTTTCCCCTCCGTTCTCCTCCCTCCAGGCTCCCCGGGGCTGATGGAGCCCGAGAAACCCAAGAAGGGAAAGAAGGAAAAAGCTCCAAAACCCACCAAGAAGCCCAAGGAGAGAGCGCGGGGCTCCAAGAAGGACAAGGACAGGGACAGGGGCCGGGATAAGGACAGGGACAGGGACAGGGGCCGGGACAGGGACAAGCCCCCCAAGAAGCCCAAAGAGAAACCCCCAAAAGGCTCCGAGAAACCACCCAAAGGCTCCAAGAAGCCCAAGGAGAAGCCACCCAAAGCCACCAAAAAACCCTCTGGCAAGAAACCACCGGAGCCCCCAACACCTCTCCCGGAGCTCCGCATCACCCCACAGCCCCCATGGGGCGAGGATGAGGAGGGGACACCCCAATTCCCAAAGCAGGCTTTGCCCTACGAGGAGGAGGAGGAGGATGGGGGTGGCAGAGGTGAGTATTGGGGAGCCCCATCTCTCCACCAGCAGGGTTTTGGGGGGTCTTGGCACATCACAGCATCACCCTGTGCCCCACAGCTCCCAGCTGCCCTGGCTTTGTCCCCCTGGGGTCATGCTCCCCCATCAGCCTTCCTCTCACCATGGGCTTTACTGCCTGGATGGGCTGGGTTTGAGGCTGGGTTTGGGGCTGGGATTGGGGTCTGGGGTCCCCAACAGGGCCTTGCTCTGTCCCTGTCCCCAGGGGAGCCGGAGGAGACACCAGTGTGGGAACTGGGCCGGGAGGACTCACATCCAGAGCCTGGTGAGTGCCCTGGCCCCGGGCCACTGCCCTGGGTATTGGGGCCACCTCCCTGTTCCCCAATGCCACCCCCTGCACCCCATTGCCACCTCCCTGCACCCCATTGTCACCTCCCTGCACCCCATTGCCACCTCCCTGCACCCCATTGTCACCTCCCTGCACCCCATTGTCACTTCCCTGCACCCCATTGTCACCTCCCTGCACCCCATTGTCACCTCCCTGCACCCCATTGCCACCTCCCTGCACCCCATTGTCACCTCCCTGCACCCCATTGCCACCTCCCTGCACCCCATTGCCACCTCCCTGCACCCCATTGTCACTTCCCTGCACCCCATTGTCACCTCCCTGCACCCCATTGTCACCTCCCTGCACCCCATTGTCACTTCCCTGCACCCCATTGCCACCTCCCTGCACCCCATTGCCACCTCCCTGCACCCCATTGTCACTTCCCTGCACCCCATTGCCACCTCCCTGCACCCCATTGTCACCTCCCTGCACCCCATTGTCACTTCCCTGCACCCCATTGCCACCTCCCTGCACCCCATTGTCACTTCCCTGCACCCCATTGCCACCTCCCTGCACCCCATTGTCACCTCCCTGCACCCAAATGCCACCCCCCTGCACCCCATTGCCACCTCCCTGCACCCCATTGTCACCTCCCTGCACCCCAATGCCACCTCCCTGCAGCCCATTGTCACCTCCCTGTTCCCCAATGCCACCCCCTGCACCCCATTGCCACCTCCCTGCACCCCATTGTCACTTCCCTGCACCCCATTGCCACCTCCCTGCACCCCATTGTCACTTCCCTGCACCCCATTGCCACCTCCCTGCACCCCATTGCCACCTCCCTGCACCCCATTGTCACTTCCCTGCACCCCATTGCCACCTCCCTGCACCCCATTGCCACCTCCCTGCAGCCCATTGTCACCCCCCTGTTCCCCAATGCCACCCCCTGCACCCCATTGCCACCTCCCTGCACCCCATTGTCACTTCCCTGCACCCCATTGTCACCTCCCTGCACCCCAATGCCACCTCCCTGCACCCCATTGTCACCTCCCTGCACCCCATTGTCACCTCCCTGCACCCCATTGTCACCTCCCTGCACCCCAATGCCACCTCCCTGTTCCCCAATGCCACCCCCCTGCACCCCATTGCCACCTCCCTGCACCCCAATGCCACCTCCCTGCACCCCAATGCCACCTCCCTGCACCCCATTGCCACCTCCCTCCACCCCATTGCCACCTCCCTGCACCCCATTGCCACCTCCCTGCACCCCAATGCCACCTCCCTGTTCCCCACTGCCACCTCCCTGCACCCCAATGCCACCTCCCTGCACCCCATTGCCACCTCCCTGCACCCCATTGCCACCTCCCTGCACCCCAATGCCACCTCCCTGTTCCCCACTGCCACCTCCCTGCACCCCATTGCCACCTCCCTGCACCCCAATGTCACCTCCCTGCACCCCATTGCCACCTCCCTGCACCCCAATGTCACCCCCCTGCACCCCATTGCCACCCCCCTGCTCCCCAATGTCACCTTCCTGCACCCCATTGCCACCTCCCTGCACCCCAATGTCACCTCCCTGCATCCCAATGCCACCTCCCTGCACCCCAATGCCACCTCCCTGCACCTCAATGCCACCTCCCTGCACCCCAATGTCACCTCCCTGTTCCCCAACATCACCTCCCTGCACCCCAATGTCACCTCCCTGCACCCCAACATCACCTCCCTGCACCCCAATGCCACCTCCTTGCACCTCATTGTCACCTCCGTGCACCCCAATGCCACCCCCCTGCACCCCAATGTCACCTCCCTGCACCCCAATTTCACATCCCTGCACCCCAATGCCACCCCCTACCCCAGAACCCCCCCCATGCCCCTTTCCCAAGTGCCCCCTCCCACAGAGCCCCCCACGGAGCCGGAGCCCCCGACCCTGGACTACAACGAGCAGCTGGAGCGGGAGGACTATGAGGACTGTACGTAGGGGTGCAGGGGGGTGGCATTGGGGTCCCTACTGCTGCTGGGGGGCTCCCCCGGCCCCCCCAGTCACCATCACCCCACACTGTCCCCAGTCGAGTTCATTCGCCGCCGGCAGCAGAAGCCCCCCAAGCCCCCCCGCAGGAAGAGCCCCCCGAGGGTCTGGCCCCAGCCCGAGGAGCCACGTGAGTGGGGCAGGATAAAGGGGGTGACAAAGAGGGGGGACAGTGCCCAGTGATGGGCACCGAGGGGAGCATCGCTTCGGGGCAGCTTGGAGCTGGGGTGGGCGTGGGGACAGGAGGAGGGGACCCCATGGGGGTGTGGGGAGCTGTGGGTTTATAAATGGGGGGGGCCTGTGGGGATGTGGGGACCCTACAGGGATGCGGGGTCCCTGCGGTGATCCCACTGAAACATGGGGGACACCACAGGGACATTGGGACCCTATAGAGGCACCCTACGGGGGCACTGTGGAGGTGTGGGGACCCCATAGGGTCCCATGGGTTCCCTTTTACCCTCCCCAGTGACACCGGTAGAGACCCCCCCAGCGCCCCCCCCAGCGCCCCCCCCAATGCCCCCCCCTGCACCCGAAGGGGACTACGATGAAGGCTTCTTGCCACCGGACTACGATGACTGTGAGTACCCCAGGACCCCATCCCTGTCCCCATGGGCCCCACAGGCCCTCCTGTGCCCCAAAGGTGTGTCCCAGCCCCCCCCCCTTTGCACCCACAGTCTCCTATGGGCTGCCCCCCCCACCGAAGCCCAGGAAAACCCTGGATAAAGGGGATGAGATGGAGACGGACGAGGAGAAACTGAAACCCGGTGAGAGATGGGCAGGGGCTGGGTCCTGGGTGGGGGACATGTCCCTATGGGGGGTGACATGGCCCTATGGGGGGTGACATGTCCTTATGGGGGGTGGCATGTCCTTATGGGGGGGTGACATGGCCCTATGGGGGGTGACATGGCCCTATGGGGGGTGACATGTCCTTATGGGGGGTGACATGTCCTTATGGGGGGTGACATGGCCCTATGGGGGGTGCATGCCCTATGGGGGGTGACATGTCCTTTGGGGGGTGCATGTCCTTATGGGGGGTGACATGGCCCTGTGGGGGGTGACATGTCCTTATGGGGGGTGACATGGCCCTATGGTGGGTGGCATGTCCTTATGGGGGGTGACATGTCCTTATGATGGGTGACATGGCCCTATGGGGGGTGACATGGCCCTATGGGGGGTGGCATGTCCTTATGGGGGGTGACATGTCCTTATGATGGGTGACATGGCCCTATGGGGGGTGACATGGCCCTGTGATGGGTGCCATGTCCTTATGATGGGTGCCATGTCCCTATGATGGGTGCCATGTCCCTGTGATGGGTGCCATGTCCCTATGATGGGTGCCATGTCCCTATGATGGATGCCATGTCCCTATGATGGATGCCATGTCCCTGTGATGGGTGCCATGTCCCTGTGATGGGTGCCATGTCCCTATGATGGGTGCCATGTCCCTATGATGGGTGCCCCATCTCCAGTAGGGAAGCCCAGGAAAGGAAGCAGCAGCAAGGAGGAGGAGGAGGACCCGTGGGCAGAGGAGAAGGGCCGGGACCGCAAAGGTGGGTGCTGCGGTCCCCATCCCCATCCCCATCCCCTCGCCCCCCCTAGGATCTACCCCCACCACTGTGCCCCCTTTCCAGGGAAACCCAAGAAGCCGGGTGGGAAGAAATGGGAGCCGGATGAGGATGAATGGGAGCCTCAGGAGGAGAAGACGAGTGAGTGTCCCTGCTTCACGGGGCAGCGGTCACCCCGCTGTGGGGCGATGGCCATCACCCCCCCATTGTCCCCAGGCTGCCCCCCCATCGGGCTGGAGTCCCACCGCATCGAGGATGAGCAGCTCCTGGCCTCATCCATGCTGCGCCATGGGCTGGGTGCTCAGCGCGGGCGCCTCAACATGCAGGTGAGGGGCACCCATCCTGCCTCTCTCCGCCCCCCTCCCAAAGCCAGGGGACCCCCAGACATGGCACAGAACCCCAGCCTGGGTTGGGTTGGAAAAGACCTTAAAGCTCACCCAGTTCCAACCCATGCCACGGGCAGGGACCCATTCCATAGAGCAGCTTGCTCCAAGCCCCTGTGTCCAACCTGGCCTTGAGCACTGCCAGGGATGGGGCATTCACAACCTCCATGGGTACCCCCCTCAGCACCCTCACATAAATCACTTCTTCCTTATCTCCAACCTGAACTCCCCCTGTTTCAGTCTGAACCCATCACCCCTTGTCCCATCCCTACAGTCCCTGATGCAGAGCCCCTCTCCAGCATCCTTGCAGCCCCCTTCACACACTGGAAGCTGCTCTGAGGTCTCCACGCAGCTTCTCTTCTCCAGCCCCAATGTTCTCAGCCTGGCTCCATACAGGAGCTGCTCCAGCCCCTGAGCATCCCCGTGGCCTCCTCTGGACCAGCTCCACCAGCTCCTTACACTGGGGCCCGTGCACACAGAGGGGTTCCGGGTTCCCCATCCATCACAACCAAGCGATGCTCAATGTCCCTCTCTCTGTCCTCACCCCAGGCAGGCCCCAATGAGGACGACTTCTTCGACGGGGCTTGGTGCGCCGAGGACGACAGCCGGGCGCACTGGCTCGAGGTGGACACGCGCCGCACCACCAAGTTCACCGGTGTCATCACCCAGGGACGCGACTCCCAGATCCAGTAGGGGAGCAGGGGCTGGGTTTGGGAACGTGGGGTGGGGGAGCTGATGGGGACCCTGCTCCCAACCTGTCCCCTTCCTCCCGCAGCGAGGACTTTGTCACCAGTTTCTACGTGGGCTTCAGCAACGACAGCCAGAACTGGGTGATGTACACCAATGGCTACGAGGAGATGGTAGGCACCCCAAAAGTGGTTAAGGGGGGCAATAGGGACCTTTTGCCCCCCAGTTTGGCTATGTCTTCCCCCTCCTTCCCCATGGCAGAAGTTCTATGGTAACGTGGACAAGGACACGCCGGTGCTGACCAAGTTCCCCGAGCCCATGGTTGCCCGTTACATCCGCATCTACCCCCAGACGTGGAACGGGAGCCTCTGCCTGCGCCTCGAGGTCCTGGGCTGCCCCCTCTCCAGTAAGAGCCACCCCAAGGAGTGTGGGGGGGCTGTGGAGGGGGGGGTGGCATCCCTGCAGTGCCCATCACCGTGTCCCTGTGCCCTCTGCAGCCGTCAGCAGCTACTACAGCCAACAGAACGAGGTGACCTCCACCGACAACCTGGACTTCCGCCACCACTCCTACAAGGACATGAGGCAGGTGAGCACCTCCCTAGGGGGGGGTCCTCCATAGGGGTGGGTTCAGCCCCACCAGTACTACCCCACCTCGCCCACCCCCTTGTGCCCGCAGCTGATGAAGGTGGTCAATGAGGAGTGCCCCAGCATCACCCGCATCTACAACATCGGCAAGAGCTCGCGTGGGCTGAAGATCTACGCCATGGAGATCTCGGACAACCCCGGCGAGCATGAGACTGGTGAGGGAGGAAGGTTCTGGAAGGGACCCGGAGCAGGCAGGGGTGCAGGCGTCACCCTGAGCCTGTGTCCTGGGTGCAGGCATCGCCCTGAGCCTGTGTCCTGGGTGCAGGCATCACCCTGAGCCTGTGTCCTGGGTGCAGGCATCACCTGAGCCTGTGTCCTGGGTGCAGGCGTCACCCTGAGCCTGTGTCCTGGATGCAGGCATCACCCTGAGCCTGTGTCCTGGATGCAGGCATCACCCTGAGCCTGTGTCCTGGATGCAGGCATCACCCTGAGCCTGTGTCCTGGGTGCAGGCATCACCCTGAGCCTGTGTCCTGGGTGCAGACATCACCCTGAGCCTGTGTCCTGGGTGCAGGCGTCACCCTGAGCCTGTGTCCTGGGTGCAGGCATCACCCTGAGCCTGTGTCCTGGGTGCAGGCATCACCCTGAGCCTGTGTCCTGGGTGCAGGCATCACCCTGAGCCTGTGTCCTGGGTGCAGGCGTCACCCTGAGCCTGTGTCCTGGGTGCAGGCATCACCCTGAGCCTGTGTCCTGGGTGCAGGCATCACCCTGAGCCTGTGTCCTGGGTGCAGGCGTCACCCTGAGCCTGTGTCCTGGGTGCAGGCATCACCCTGAGCCTGTGTCCTGGGTGCAGGCGTCACCCTGAGCCCGTGTCCTGGGTGCAGGCATCACCCTGAGCCTGTGTCCTGGGTGCAGGCATCACCCTGAGCCTGTGTCCCGGGTGCAGGCATCACCCTGAGCCTGTGTCCCGGGTGCAGGCATCACCCTGAGCCTGTGTCCCGGGTGCAGGCATCACCCTGAGCCTGTGTCCTGGGTGCAGGCATCACCCTGAGCCTGTGTCCTGGGTGCAGGCATCACCCTGAGCCTGTGTCCTGGGTGCAGGCATCACCCTGAGCCTGTGTCCTGGGTGCAGGCATCACCCTGAGCCTGTGTCCTGGGTGCAGGCGTCACCCTGAGCCTGTGTCCTGGGTGCAGGCATCACCCTGAGCCTGTGTCCTGGGTGCAGGCATCACCCTGAGCCTGTGTCCTGGGTGCAGGCATCACCCTGAGCCTGTGTCCTGGGTGCAGGCGTCACCCTGAGCCTGTGTCCTGGGTGCAGGCATCACCCTGAGCCTGTGTCCTGGGTGCAGGCGTCACCCTGAGCCTGTGTCCTGGGTGCAGGCGTCACCCTGAGCCTGTGTCCTGGGTGCAGGCATCGCCCTGAGCCTGTGTCCTGGGTGCAGGCATCACCCTGAGCCTGTGTCCTGGGTGCAGGCGTCACCCTGAGCCTGTGTCCTGGGTGCAGGCATCACCCTGAGCCTGTGTCCTGGGTGCAGGCGTCACCCTGAGCCTGTGTCCTGGGTGCAGGCGTCACCCTGAGCCTGTGTCCTGCCCGCAGGTGAGCCCGAGTTCAGGTACACAGCCGGGCTCCATGGGAATGAGGTGCTGGGCCGGGAGCTGCTGCTCCTGCTCATGCAGTTCCTATGCAAGGAGTTCCAGGATGGCAACCCCCGGGTGCGGAGCCTGGTCACCGAAACCCGCATCCACCTCGTGCCCTCCCTCAACCCCGATGGCTACGAGCTGGCCCGCGAGGCGGTGAGGGCATGGCAGGGATGGGGCAGTGGGTGGTGTCGTGGTTTATGTGCTGAACCCAGGATGATGGGATGTGCGTGGTGGATGTGGGTGGTGGATGCGGGTGGTGGATGCGGGTGGTGGATGCGGGTGGTGGATGTGGGTGGCGGATGCGGGTGGTGGATGCAGGTGGAGGGATGCAGGTGATGGATGCGGGTGGTTGGATGCAGGTGGTGGATGCGGGTGGTGGATGCGGGTGGTGGATGCAGGTGGAGGGATGCAGGTGGTGGATGCGGGTGGTGGATGCGGGTGGTGGATGCAGGTGATGGATGCGGGTGGTGGATGCGGGTGGTGGATGCGGGTGGTGGATGTGGGTGGTGGATGCGGGTGGAGGGATGCAGGTGATGGATGCAGGTGATGGATGCAGGTGATGGATGCAGGTGGTGGATGCGGGTGGTGGATGCGGGTGGTGGATGCGGGTGGTGGATGCGGGTGGTGGATGCGGGTGGTGGATGTGGGTGGTGGATGCGGGTGATGGATGCAGGTGGTGGATGCGGGTGGTGGATGCGGGTGGTGGATGCGGGTGGTGGATGCGGGTGGTGGATGCGGGTGGTGGATGTGGGTGGTGGATGCGGGTGGAGGGATGCAGGTGATGGATGCGGGTGGTGGATGCAGATGGTTGGATGCAGGTGGTTGGATGCAGGTGGAGGGATGCGGGTGATGGATGCAGGTGGTGGATGTGGGTGGTGGATGCAGGTGGAGGGATGCGGGTGATGGATGTGGGTGGTGGATGTGGGTGGTTGGATGCAGCTGGAGGCATGCAGGTGATGGATGCAGGTGGTGGATGCGGGTGGTTGGATGCAGGTGGAGGGATGCAGGTGGTTGGATGTGGGTGGTTGGATGCAGGTGGAGGGATGCACCCTCCAGCTCACGGCTGCCCTGGGCTGCTGCAGGGCTCTGAACTGGGCAACTGGGCTCTGGGCCACTGGACAGAGGAGGGCTACGACCTCTTTGAGAACTTCCCTGACCTGGCTTCAGCCCTGTGGGCAGCTGAGGACAGGAAGCTGGTACCTCACAAGTTCCCCAACCACCACATCCCCATCCCTGAGCACTACTTGGCTGAGGACGCCACGGTGAGCTGCAGAATGGGGCATGGTGATGGGGATGTGATGGGGCAGTGAAGGGGAGGTGATGGGGAGGTGATGGGGCAGTGATGGGGAGGTGATGGAGCAGTGAAGGGGAGGTGATGGGGAGGTGATGGAGCAGTGATGGGGAGGTGATGGGGCAGTGATGGGGAGGTGATGGGGCAGTGAAGGGGAGGTGATGGGGCAGTGATGGGGCAGTGAAGGGCAGGTGATGGGCAGGTGATGGGGCAGTGATGGGGCAGTGATGGGCAGGTGATGGGGCAGTGAAGGGGAGGTGATGGGCAGGTGATGGGGCAGTGAAGGGGAGGTGATGGGGCAGTGAAAGGGAAGTGATGGGGAGGTGAAGGGCAGGTGACAGGGAGGTAAATGGAAGGTGATGGAGCAGTGAAGGGGAGGTGATGGGGCAGTGATGGGCAGGTGATGGGCAGGTGATGGGGCAGTGAAGGGGAGGTGATGGGGCAGTGAAGGGCAGTTGATGGGGCGATCATGGGCAGGTGATGGGGCAATCATGGGGAGGTGATGGGGCAGTGATGGGCAGGTGATGGGGAGGTGAAGGGGCAGTGATGGGGAGGTGATGGGGCAGTGAAGGGCAGGTGATGGGGCAGTGAAGGGGAGGTGATGGGGAGGTGATGGAGCAGTGGAGGGCAGGTTGATGGAGCAGTGAAGGGCAGGTGATGGAGCAGTGATGGGCAGGTGATGGGGAGGTGATGGAGCAGTGAGGGGAGGTGATGGGGCGATCACGGGCAGGTGATGGGGCAGTGAAGGGCAGGTGATGGGGAGGTGATGGGGAGGTGAAGGGGAGGTGATGGGGAGGTGATGGAGCAGTGAAGGGCAGGTGATGGGGAGGTGATGGGCAGTGATGGGGCAGTGAAGGGCAGGTGATGGGGCGATCATGGGCAGGTGATGGGGCAGTGAAGGGGAGGTTGATGGGGCAGTGAAGGGCAGGTGATGGGGAGGTGATGGGCAGTGATGGGGCAGTGAAGGGGAGGTTGATGGGGCAGTGAAGGGGAGGTGATGGGGCGATCATGGGCAGGTGATGGAGCAGTGAAGGGCAGGTGATGGGGCAGTGAAGGGCAGGTGATGGAGCAGTGAAGGGCAGGTGATGGGGCAGCGATGGGGAGGTGATGGGGCAGTGAAGGGGAGGTGATGGGGAGGTGATGGGCAGTGATGGGGCAGTGAAGGGCAGGTGATGGGGCGATCATGGGCAGGTGATGGGGCGATCATGGGCAGGTGATGGGGCGATCATGGGCAGGTGATGGAGCAGTGAAGGGCAGGTGATGGGGCGATCATGGGCAGGTGACATCTCACACCACCTACCCCCTTTGGCAGGTAGCGGTGGAGACGCGGGCTGTCATGGCGTGGATGGACAAGAACCCCTTCGTGCTGGGAGCCAACCTGCAGGGCGGGGAGAAGCTGGTGTCCTACCCCTTCGACACAGCCCGTCCCGTCAGCGAGACCCCAGCGGCCGCCCCACGCCCACCGGATGAGTACGAGGACGAGACCCCGGAGCTGCAGGAGACCCCCGACCACGCCATCTTCCGCTGGCTCGCCATCTCCTACGCCTCGGCCCATCTCACCATGAGCGAGCCCTTCCGCGGCGGCTGCCACACACAGGACATGACCAACGCCATGGGCATCGTGCAGGGCGCCAAGTGGCATCCCCGGGCAGGCAGTAAGTGGGTGCCACGCTGCACGGCACCAGTTTGTCCATCACGTGGAGGTGGGAGCGAGCAGCTGGGTGGGTGCTTGCCTGTTTTGTCTCGCAGGCATGAATGACTTCAGCTACCTGCACACCAACTGCCTGGAGCTCTCCATCTACCTGGGCTGCGACAAGTTCCCCCATGAGAGCGAGCTGCAGCAGGAGTGGGAGAACAACAAGGAGTCTCTGCTCACCTTCATGGAGCAGGCAAGTGCTGGAGGCACCAGGCAGGGAGCGGGCCTGCCCCACACAGCTCCTCTCATCCCCCTTCCTGACCCAGGTCCATCGGGGCATCAAGGGCTTGGTGACGGACCAGCAGGGAGAACCCATCGCCAACGCCACCATCGTCGTGGGGGGCATCAACCACAACATCAGGACAGGTAGGTCGCAGGGCAGGGTGTGGGGCAGGGTGCTGGCAGTACCGTGCCACCTCTTCCACACAGCACCGTGTCCCCTCGCTGCCTGCAGCCAGCGGTGGGGATTACTGGCGCATCCTGAACCCCGGTGAGTACCGCGTCTCGGCCCGCACCGAGGGCTACAACCCCAGCGTCAAGACCTGCAGCGTCCTCTACGACATCGGGGCCACCCAATGCAACTTCGTGCTGGCGCGCTCCAACTGGAAGCGCATCCGGGAGATCATGGCCATGAACGGGAACCGGCCCATCCGCCGCATCGTGCCAGGCCGCCCCATGACGCCCCGCGAGCGCCTGCGCCTGCAGATGCGCCTCCGGCACCGCATGCGTCTGCGGCAGCAGATGAGGCTCCGGAGGCTCAATGCCACCACTGCTGCCAGCAGCCCCACGGCCCCGCTGCCCACCACGGCCATGCACTCCTTCAGCAGCACAGCCTATGTGCCCTGGAGCCAAGAGCCACCCACAGCCGGCACCTGGGAGATGGAGACCGAAACAGAGGTGGTCACCGAGGTGGTGACCGAGACGGAGACCTGGGAGCTGGGCACAGGGACGGTGCAGCCCTTCACCACGGCCGAGACCTACACCGTGAACTTTGGTGACTAGGGGTGCCTGTCCCCTCGTTCCTGCCTCAGCCGCAGGCTCCGGCATCGCTTCCAAGCAGGGCTCCAGCTCCTCACCCATGCTGCTTCCATGCTGCTGCTCGCCCCAAGGCTGGGTGGCTGCGGAGCATCCCCCGTGCTGCGCTCCAGGGCCGGCAGCAAGAGATGCGCTGCTCCATCCCTGAGACATGGGATGGAGTGAAGCAGTACACAGCCCTCGCCCCATCCTGGTGGGGTGGGCAGGGGTGGTCCTGCTGTCCAGGGCAGGGCCCGACGGAGGCAGGCACAGCCCCACTCCCCTCCACACATTTTGGTACACAAATAAATCAAGTTATATTGGTAAGAGAATCTCTCCTTTGCAACCAGCAGCTCCGTGCCAGCGCTCCCAGGAGGACGGCTGGGAATGGCACAAGGGGGTTTATTGAGTCCATGCCTGCTCCATCAGTGCTTGACCTCCATGTCCCCATCATCATCCTCAGCCCCGAAGCCAGAGAAGGAGATGGGCTGGCAGCTGAGATCGCGCAGGTTGATGAGGCAGGCGGTCTGCGTGGTGCTGAAGGTGGGCACTGTCACTAGCAGGACCTGCTGCCCGTTGTCCCCTATAGACACAGGCGGATGAGCCCCCCCTCACACCCTGGCACAGGGTTGGGGGTGCTGCAGGCGCAGAGCTCACCTGTGAGCAGCTTGGACTGGAAGCGGGGAGCATTGCCGCAGAAGTAGACGTGCGGGCACTCGGTGACGATGAATGGGTCCACGTTGTAGAAGGGGTAGCAGCCTGGGAGGGGTGGAAACAAGGGGGTCAACTTGCACCCCCTCAGCAACACCCACCCAGCTCAGCTGCCACCAGCCCTTGCCTCACCCAGCGTGTCCGGTGCTGTGGGGCAGATGTGCCCTGCCAGCAGGGTCCATTCCAGGATCTCCAGGTAGTCATCCATGCTGCTGTACTTGAAGATGTCACTGACGTTTTGACCCGATGTCCCCAAAAACCTGCGTTTTGGAGGTAGAAAGAGGGGGGTCACCCGGTTGTACCCCCCATGACTCAGCCCACGGTCCCAGAGCTGCTCACAGGATGCTTTACCTGACGCCATCCACATCGGCCTGGTAGGGGTTGGTGACCAGGCGCAGCGTGGCGTAGGCGCTGGCGAGGGGCAGCATGCAGTGGTGCAGCGGCTGCTGCGGCAGCATGTAGTTGGTGGGGTCAAACTCACCGGGCATCACGTCCACAGGCACTGAGCTCTGTGGGGATCAACAGGGATAAACCACCCCCTGAAGGGGCTGGGAGCAGCTGGAGCTGCTGCCGGCTCTGCCTTGCTCCCCCATTTGGCTCCTGCTGCATCCCACAGGAAGCCTCTCTTGGCTTCACCACACAGAGCAGATGCTGGGAACCGGGCCGGGCGCTGCGTTCCCTTTTGGCACCACATGGACTGCTCAAAGGGAACGTGTGGCTGGGGAAGGGGCCTCCCTGAGCCCTTGGGCTGCTGGCAGAGCATCATTCCCTGCCTCGGGAGCCAGGCACCCTCCCTCAGCAGGCCCTGATTCCCTGGCCAGCCCCATCCTGCTCCACATGCTCACACAAAGCTGCAGCAGGATCTCATCCAGCATCTTCATGGCCTCCACACTCGCTGCCTGCGTCTTCTTGGTCAAGTACTTGGCCTGGGTCATAGGGGAGACAGTGAGGAAAGGACCCTGTCCCCTCGCTGGTCCCTCCCTGTCCCCATCGTACCTTGTTGAGGGTGTCCCGGCTCTGGGTGGTCTGGCTCAGCATGTTCCCAGCCAGGATGACGCGGGAGATGTGTGCGGCGCAGCTCTGCTGGCCCTCGGCACCCAACTGCCCCGTGACCACGTCCAGCAGCAGTTGGGTGCTCAGCAGGGACTCACCACTGCCACTGCCCAGCCCCAGCCCCGACGCCAGCAGCACGAACCTGCACAGGCACAGGCAGCAGCTGTGATCCCTGAGTGCACCCAGCCCTGCCTGCTCCATCCCTGCCTGCAATGAGGTGCTTCAGAGAGCTGGGGTAGGATCATGAGCCCCCGTACGTGGTCTCTTGGCACAAGGCACCCACCCCACCAGGCCCAGGGGACAACTGGTCCCAGGGCTCGGGGACAGTGGGGACACAGTGCCAGCCCCTCCTGTCCCTGCACTCACCGGTCGGAGCTGGGCCCATTGCGGGGCAGTGCTGGGGGCAGGCTGGCGAAGCAGTGATCCTCCACCAGGAACTTCCCGGTGTCCTGCTCGTAGCCATACACAGCAAAGATGGTCCCTATGGCACAGAGTGGATAGTCACCCCCAGCCCGAGCCCTGAGGTGGCTGCCAGTGAGGGTCCGTGTCACGAGGATGGAGCCAGGCTCTTCTCAGTGGCAAACAATGATAGGACAAGGGGCAATGGGTGCAAACTGGAACACAAGAGGTTCCACTTAAACCTGAGAAGAAACTTCTTCTCAGTGAGGGTGACAGAACACTGGAACAGGCTGCCCAGGGAGGTTGTGGAATCTCCTTCTCTGGAGCCATTCAAAACCCGCCTGGACACGTTCCTGTGTAACCTTATCCAGGTGTTCCTGCTCCAGCAGGGGGATTGGACTGGATGAGCTTTTGAGGTCCCTTCCAATCTCTGACATACTGGGGTACTGTGATGCTGTGCTACCTGTCACCAGCTTCTGCACCTCGACAGCTCCTTCCAGCTTGATCCGCTGCAGCTCATCCTCCAGGATCAGCTCATCGGAGGGGTCGATGTACTTGGGCCGGGGTGGCTGTGGCACCAGGTTGTGCTGGGGGAGACACACACAGGGGAGGCTGTGACAGCCCCAGCGATGGCAAAGAGCCCTTCCCCATCCTGGCCAAACTCTGCTCATGGAAACCAGCCCTGGTGCTGCTGCGGCACCCAGAGGAGCTGCTTTCACCCAACTGTTCCTGCAGTGCCCAGCAAAGCCTGGGAGAAGAGGAACTGGGACATGGAGCTCTGGCTCACCTCTGGAAATGTGTTTGCAGTCACCACCCTGCATATCCCAACCCGTATGCTTCAAACTTCCCTGTGAGCCGGCCATGAGGATGGAAAAGCTTCCCTGGACACCCCCCTCATCCTCACCCTCCAGAGCAGGGAAAAGGGGTTTGCTCTGCTAATCCCACTGGATCCACATACTCCAAGGGCAGGAAAAGCAATGCCAAGCTGGGAGCAAGGGGTGGCACTAAGAGTGATGGGGTGGGCACAGAGATTATTACCCACCAGCTCCCTAGGTTGAACCCCTGGCAGCTCCCACTTCACTACAGCAAGCATGAGGGAAGCGATGGGAAGGCGGCTGAGGTCTTGGTGTGTGCTGGCCCATTCCCCAGAGGAGGAGGCTGTTCCCTCCTTACCTCCTCGCTGATCTCCCTTAGGATGGAGGGCTGCAGCTGCATGGCCTTGAAGAGCGTGCCCACCACGCAGCACTTCTCTCCTGCCTGCAGCTCGGAGAGCTTCCGCAGCGCGATGTCATCCCCTGCGGAGAGAACCGGGGCTCAGCCACGCTCCGGGCACAGCTCAACGGGCCCAGATGTGAGGCAGTGAGGGAATGAGGGGCAGGTTCCCATTCATCCTCAAGGCACGGAGCTCAGCTCACATGTGTGGGCCAGATGGGGCCAGCAGAGCACAGCCAAGAGGCAGCACTGGTGGAGGGGAAGCTTGGCCATGCCCAGCCGTTCCCAAGAAAAGAGGGAGCAAGGAATGGGGACTGGTGTGCTGGGCATGCAGCTGGTGCTCCTGCCCTTAGGCACGAGGGGCTGGTGCTGCTGCTCTCCATCAGGAGATGACACTAACACCCGTTGAACAGGCAGGAGAGATCACTCCCCCCCTGTTAAGGCTGGATCCCTATCACAACCAGCCATTTGGGGGGATCCCAATGTGAAGGCAGTGGCAGGAAAGGCACAAACGGGATCCCCAGAGGAAACCAGGCCAGGAACCAATCTGTGCCTCAGAAAGTGCAACCAGCAGCACAGCCCCAGCACTCCATCCCCTCTGCAGGCAGAACCCACATCTCCAACACCACAAGCTGAGCCCCATCCTGTACGTGTCTGGAGGACTTTTATCTCCCGCTGTTTAAAGCAGCTTGTGAAGCCCATCCATGCCTCCATCCATGCCTCCACCTCCATCCTGCAGTGAGCAGGACTGGCTGCCAGGCGCTGCCAGGCTCCCCTCCCAGAACAACACTGCCAGATCCCGCTCTGTACCGGCTCCTCCAGCCTTGCTGTGTGCCGGGGGGGGGGTTCCCCCCCCCAGAAACCTCTCCCTTTGCTCCTCACGCGCCTGCTGAACGTGACTGCGGTCCATGGCAAGGGCCCTGCTGGGATCACAGGCAGCCGGGGCTCAGCAGAGCTGGAAACACGAGTTCATCCATCCCAGGAATGCAAACACTCGGAGTCAGGAAAAACAATCCCGGTTTGGTTTCTTATTCTTGGCTCTCCCCCCCAGCTCAGGGGGACGGGGCTGCACTCTGCACACACAGACCCAGAAATCCCATCCCATGACTCCACACATGGAGCTTTAGGAAAGCGCTGCTTCCCGTCACCACGGCCCAATCCAGCTCCATGGAAGCGGCCGCAGCCTCAGCCCCACACAGCCCAGGGGCTGGGGAGAGGAAGGTAAACAAGCAGCCGGCCCAAAAAGCGCCTTAGAAGGGCAAAGCTGAGAACTCGGCTGGGCCAGGAAGGTGGAATTGGATCATGGGCTTTACCATGCCAGAGATGTGGTTTTAGGAACGCTGGGACACTGCCTAGCAGGGATAACATTCCCAGGAACACATGTGGGGTATTGAACCCTCAAAAGTATCTATAAAGTGAGGAAAGCAGAGGGGCTCTGTGAGCCTGAGGGACCCAGGGAGTTGGGACCATGTGAACATCATGGACTTCAACAAGGCCAAAGGCAGGGTCCTGTCCCCAGCACAAGCACAGGCTGGGGGCGACTGCATGGAGCAGCCTGAGGAGAAGCACTTGGGGCTGTTGGATGAGAAGCTCCCCATGGCCTGGCTTCAGTGAGCACTTCAGACCAGAACACCCCCG